ATGTAATTTCAACTGCTGATCTGTGTTATCTATATTTAATAATTTGATGAATGGCACAAATGTTGTAGATTATTTTTAAGCATTGGAATACCCAATTTCAGTGCATGCTCGACCCAGTAAGTCAGATTCCGCAGTGCACTCGGACAAGTGTCTGGAGTAATTAAACATCTTGAACTGCTGCATTTAGATAATCTCGAGTCAGAAACAGTGGAATCACATGGGAACCTATGCCACTCCTCCACCCAGGATGTCGGAAAACCTCCTTTCATGCAGGAGGCTTCCGAGTGCATTAGGGTCTTCTATGAGAGGTTTTTTTTGCAGTTACGGTACAATTCCTCTCCCAGTAGTCCATTCTTCCATCCTTTTTTTGACACAACTTTATCCAATACAGGAGCGTGAGGGAGCCAGAGCTTGTCCCGGCAAGCAACGAGTGCAACTCAGGATACGCCCTGGACGGGACGCCAGTCCATCTTAGGGCACACACGGACACATACACATACTCACACCAGGGCTAGCCTTCCCAGAAGCAAATTAACCAGAAGACCCTAAGGAAAACCACGCAAACAACTTCCTGTTTATATTCTCATGATTGCACCTCGGGAATCACGAGGCCACTATGCTAACTACTGTAGCACCGTGCTGCCCTCATTCCAGCAATCATTTTCAAGATACTTTTTTCCCCCCTGCTGCTGTTCAGCCATCCTCTGCAGTACCAGCTTTTGAAGATCTATTTCCCCCATTCTTACAAAAAGTCAAGAACCTGTGCCCCTTATTTCATGCGTAATTTTTTACAAGATGGAATGACTGTGTTTTTATTTTATAAGATAAGATCACTTTATTAGCCATGTACAATTTCTTGCATTAGGAATGTGTCTTTTTGCATACCCCAGCTTGTTCCCCATGAGACGCACAGACACTCTGACAGGGAGAGAGAAGCTTGGGGTCAGAGCGCAGGGTCAGCCATTTGTATGCCTTTTGGGATCACAAGCTGTGCCTTTAACTTGGCCATGACTGCTGTACCCCGAGCTGAGAATGAAGTGTGAGCAGGCTCCTCCGACCGGCCTGCCGGCGAGGTGCTGTTCTGCTTGACGTGTCCTGAGATCTCTGGCAGCACAGAGGAGGTTCAGCACACACCAGCCTGCAGGTGACAGGGAATTCGTTGTTTTCCCTCCCATCCCCCGAGAGCCAAGAGATCCGGGGCCGACTAATCCCAAAGCCACACCTGGCAGCTCGTGACCTGATTACCATGCGGTTAGAGATGCATGATCAAGGCCCTTTGGAGCACGGAGCTCAACTCCTCTTGAGCCACTCCGAATTCCATAAGTAGGGTTTCCAGTGCTTAGAAAGCTCAAGTGCATTAAAAAAATGCCCTGGAAGTTTAGTGTCTGCTCTGAGTTGTAGACTTTGATGCAATTAAAAAAGCAACTTTTACCCCACAATTCACAGAATATGAAATATCTCTCATAAGCATATTTTATAAAGAATTCATTTCTGGATGTTAAAATAAGCAGAAAAAAGAAACTAAACCACTTTCTGATCCAAACAGGAGGGTGTTTGGATAAAAATTATGTACAGTAGGTGCAAAACACTAGCCTAAGGTAATGCACAGCACTTATATTCATGACAGCTTACTGGTATTAGCGGTTTAAGAAATATCTTTCTGAAACAGTTTTTCAGATCTGCAGTGAGCATAAGTGATACATTGTATTTGTAGGCTAAATGTGTCCGAAAGCCACAGGGCGAATTGCTTACAGCTGTGTTCTGTGACTGTAGAGCCTTTCAAGTTAAGTGCAGAAATGTGGATGTTGAAGCCGAGAACAGTGTGCTTTTCATTTTGAGGAGCTCATTTGTAAGCAACAGAATGGACTGTAGGATGTGGACAGAAAAGCATCTGTGTGGGGCCGTCAGCAAGCTGTACAGTGGCATTCTGGAATGAAAGTTTCATAGATGAAAAATACAGTGACATATGTTCACTCTGAGTACAGCAAAAGAGGCGGTCCAAAATGAATCTATAAATATATTTGGAATTTTAATGTCCTCGTACTCTGAACAGGCCAACATCAGTTGCTCTTGTTGGGGAAAAAAATATTTTGTGCTTTTCACCTAAATGCGTTTTGTTTTCCAGCTCCATAGAAACGGGCATCTCTGAAAGCACTCAATAACACCAACTGTGTTTGCTTCCTAACACTTCTCTCACTTTGCATTTGTTTGTTTTTGGCTTCAGACAGACTGTGATGCCAATTTTTTTTTCCACTTGGGTTTGAAAAAAAGGTGACAGTTTTAAAATGTGAAAACTTCAGTTATTTTGTGTAGGGTTTGATTTTTGGCCATCTCACACCCCTCCTGTGTTTATACAGGCCATGAAAGGGAGCAGAAACTCTGCAAACTAGTTTCAAACTATTTAGTACGTTTAGTATTTTATTCAGGAGGCATATGAATGAGAGGAATACATTACAGTTCAGCTCTTCACCTTCTGAAGGAATGCACTATTACGTGTTCACATCTCCAGTCCTCAAGGTTCACAGTCCAATCGGGGGAAAAGGGGATTAAACTGGCCCAGTTAAGTGTAAGTGTGAAAGGTTTCATGAGGCCTTGCAGATCTGTTGGATTCAAGACCACACTTATCAGACCCTGCGCTGTGCTGTGCTGTATGTTGTGTTCAGCAAACCATGTCAATGGGACTGGAAGTATTTCCTGGTGCAAGATGCATGATTTGGTCCAAGGAAATAGCTTTATTGTTGCTGTTCATCAAGCCAACCAAGTGTTAGCCAAGGTCTGGGGAAACATCTTAGTGGTGAGATACCAGATGAAGATTTCCTTAGTGGACATATGGTAAACTAGGTTTTATTCTGCTACATGTGGAATGACAAAATAAACAGAAGTTTATCATCATGTATTCTGATTTCTTCCAAATCAACATGTAATAACTTTATCCTTTTGATTCACAGGCTTTCAAAGTTCTTGGGCAAATTGTGTAGCTACCCCAAAACATCAAGGACACAAACAACACCTTGTTCACTGGCCATGAATTTGAATTTCCATGTAATTTCCACACAGTCTTTCTAGATTATTTTAAATGCTTCTTCGTTTATAGCTTGCTGATATGCTGTTACTTTAAACTTGTTGTCTATACTGTGGTTATAACAAGGGTTATAACACTTGTAATACAGTTTGGGGGACGTTGATTTTCGTGAAAACACCCAGATTGTGCGTAGCTCTACCCCCTGCATAAGGGGATTGTGGAAGGATGGCAGCCTGTGAAATATCAGCGATATGTCATACTGGAACAGGGCACAGGTGTCAGAACAGTTTGTGTTTGTCAAGAAGTGCCAGAACACCGCAAGAACAGGAAAGAACTCAAAGCGGCTGCAGAAAAGTATCTTAAATAGCTACCCAAAGAATTTGGTGGGCTCAATGGGATGCAGGTTTCATGCAGTTATGAGTGGATATTTAATCCAAAGGGGTATGCAAACCAATACAAACTTTTACACTCTGAATTTACTTAATCTGAATGTGTTCCTCAAAGCCTTGAGTAAATCACAAAGCCTGTTTTTATTCTATGATCTGATGTATACAAGGAGTAAACCAAAACAATGTAAATTACATTGTGCATTTCATTCATATTTATCTTGTAATTACAAATACAAACTGTTTCACAGCAGAAATAAACTTTTTGAGTTGTGTAAAGATTACTCATGTACAGAAACATTTTCAGCAGATAGTCATAATCAGTTCAATTCTTCTGCTTTTTTATTGAAACCCTTCAATATACAGTATGGTTATTTCCATTTTCATTACTAAGCAAAATAAGGCAAAGTGTACTGTATCCAGTTTTGTGTTTTAAGTTTTAATCCCTCCAAAATATTTAAATCAAGCCAGAGTATGGTGATTTTGAATTTCTTCACGTATGGTAATTTGTTCAAAACATTTGCCACCTCATTTTGTGAGATGATACAATGTATTAATCAAACTAGGTAATTGTAATTAGAGTAATTTCAGAATTCAACACCTGCTGCATGTATCACCACCACTCCTTAAGAATTCTAAAGTTTTTTTGTTTTGTTTTGCCCAACTATACTCTAAAGTGTTAGGTTTAAAGTAAGATCTGCCTCAGATGTTCTGTTTCAAAAATAAGATGTTATGTACAAAGGTGTTTGTACAATGGAAAATGTATTTTTACTTTTATTCATAGCTGCCATAGCACTTTTTTTGGTACTGGTGTGACCACTGGCACAATAAAATGAATGATAAATTCAGCAGTAGCTGTTGTAATGGCTGTTCATTAAACCAGATTGCAATGTGAGAGGTTGGGCGATCTAAAGCTAAAACTTGTGCATTTGAACTGTATTTTTTAAACTAAAATGCATTAAACAGGGTGACAACACAATTGTAGGACAACTTATTTTTGCAGTATTTTCAAGATTAAATTTGAAACAGCAATACAGTTGTTTTAGAGTATATTGCTTTTGGCACATGCTGTTGCTTTTATGCCACTTCCTGTTTAAAAATTGCTTTCAGGTCATAAATTCCCATTCTACAAAATAATAATGCTCAGGAAACCCAAAAGATTTGTTCACTGTATATTTATTTTTACTGACAGCCATTTGAGTGCCAGTGTATATATATTTTCTCCAGTAGGAAGTCAGATATTACATTTATGATAACCCTTCAAAAAACCACAAAAACAATAGGTCGTTTGAGTTTCACAGCTTTTTCTGGAACAGAGCCTAGTTCCTCTATTTCAAAACTAATGGTTAACAGTTTCTTCAGCATTTAGGTGATTATTTACAGCAAAAGCGTCAGGCTTTGTTTCAGCACTGCACAGAAGCTAGTGGAGCTGCATGAGTCATTATTCCAGTATGTGACCTCATGAAAGCGGAAGTCCCTCACCCTGTCAGCAGTACTTTATTTACCCTGTGGGATTTGGTGGGATCAAAGACAAGGAGTGCTGAAGCGAGGAATGGTGAAGTTAATGTCTCCCTATTCTGGAATTCCTTTAGATTCTGATGCGGAACAGGATGCTGTCGTCAAACTTGCCCAGGAGAGAGCAGAAATAGTAGCAAAATATGATAAGGTAAGTGGTGTTCTTGTCTGGTGTGGACCTTTGGACTCATCTTCATCTGTATCTTTACTGTTATTGTGTTCAATCCTTTACTACCCTTTGACTTGACATTTGTATTTGTATGTTTTTTTTATGTCTGATTGATCTGTTTGCTTACCTTTTAACTATCTTGTCCTGGGGGGGGTTAGTGTTATCATAACAGCCAGGTGTTTGCCCTCTCCTAAATGTTATGTGAATCTTTTTTAATTTCATTTGCTGCTACAACGGTGTTTGCTAATCCTCCTAACCTGCTATCATATGCCAACTTGACTAGTTTACTAACTACAGCATATTGTTACAAATGGGGAGGTTACAAAATAGAAAAATATCAAAAATGACCGAGCAGATGAATAAGTAAATAAATGTTCATAATAAATAAATTCAATAATAATAATTCATAATTGTATTTACTCTGCCAAGAATACTCCCTAGTGGTTGGAGTAATTAGAAGCAGATGAGTTCTTTGATCTGACACTTTGGTGAAAAGAGTAATAATTCAGGCACACTGGGTTAAACAAGTATTAATTTATTAATAAAGACACTACACACAGCATAAACATACAACATACAAGTTGCGCTGTTTACAAATGTATACACGAGGTGACCAAGAGGCCTACATCCTGACCACCCAGATAAACCCCCGATTGCTACCAAACATTCAAACTCTTATGTACCGTAGGAGATAAAGCTGCCTTCGAAACCAAACAGAATACGGCTTACGGTTAAATCTTTCTCTGTCAACCAGGATGCTACAAAACCAATGGGCACCTCCCTGTTCAGAAATGCACCCACTAACCAGGAGAAGCCATTTTTAACCAAATGATTATTTAAACAGGAAATCGGTTCCTAACAGAAAAACAGACTCGCCAGTTCTCTTCACGAGGTTCAGCTTCAGTTTGGTCTTTATGGATGATCAAGCCAAGGAGTTCTGACCTTCCATCTTTCTGTCCCTTGTTCTCCTGCTTGTGTTTTATGCACTGTTCCTGGACTGTGGATTGACACTTAATCATTAACCCAGAACTTTATTCACTAAGGCACCAAGGTAAACTTTGTGATTGCTTTGATCACTGAATCCTGGACCCCTCAGCAAAATCTCATTTATATGCGGAACTTTGTCTCTGAAAGTCAACAACATACTACATACAGCAGCTGCCCTCTGCGTATCCCTTGCTGTTGTTTGTGCTGAGAACTCTAAAGAGTTGGTTTAAGAAAACCTCCCTTTTCTAAATCTATGCTGACAGTTCCCTAGGTTTTGATTTCCCTGTAGGTGATCCTCTAATTTGGTTCTAATAATTGTTTCCATTACCGGAGTAGGTAATGAAAATCAGACTTGTCAATGATTGCTTGGTTCAGTTTTTCTTGTGGAGCATATGTATAGTGTGTGGACACTTCATTAGTAATTATCAAGTCTATGGGTACTACCTCTGTCTTAAGCGACTGTTGGAATTGTGTCGATGTCTTTTATATAATGTTTCTTGTTTCCTTGAATACAGCCCGTGGGGGCTTTGTTCATCTTGAGCACTGCTGTTACTAGGATGCTTCTCTTGCCTTTTCCGTTACTAAAGTTCAACAAAGTCAAACAAAAATCTTCATTTGCTCTGCCCGAGGCATATTTTTGATGTGTTCTGTCATTTCTACCATTTCATTTTCTGCTGCTTAAATCAATAAATGCTTCATGTAATTAATCCGTAAATGACTCTTAAGCCCTTTACACAGTATACTATCACTGTTTATATAAAGACCTGTTTCATAAAGGACTCCAGGTTTTTTGTATGCTCTTTTCTAAAGATATTTGTCTGTTTTTAAGGATATTAGCCATGCGTGATTCCAGTGAGTAATTCTATATCTTAGCTCTTGTTCGTGCGTAAAGGGTGTCTCGATATACACTGGGGTTAGGTACCAGAGAAAGGCTACTGATTTTTCCCCATAAGACAAATGTAAAATTGAGCAGCTTAGCCTATGTAACTCAAAATGGGGAATTTCCTCATATTAAAAAAAAAAGTAATTTGAAATGGTTCTGTATAAGTGTATGTGTTTATAGTATTCAGAGTAAAGACCTTACAACAGTTATTTATATCTACTGAACACTTAACTGAAAACCAATTTTATTTACATTTCTGAACAGCCCTTCTTTTTAATTTGAGGAAATAAAATTCTTAACTCATTCTTAACAGAAAACCGTATTTATGAGACATTGTTTAAAACCCTAACCTGTCACACACTTTCAAACATTTGTTTAGGGATAATTTTCACATAAACCCGTTTTTAGTGTTTGAAAGCATTTTAGAAATCATTTACATTAACGTATGAGTATGTGCGCACAATTGGCTTGATTAGCAAAGGATTCGAGAGAGGTTTAGGTGGAGCTGGAGGATGAGGATCCCGCTAGAGCCTCATCAGCTGCCTATGGTTAATAACATCCAAAACCGCCACGTCTATAGAAACAGACGGCACTTGTCTTTACGATGCCGGGAGGTCCTGCATGAGGCTCGACCGTGAGAGAATTGGGTTCTTTGTTTTTGTTTTCTAAAAAAAGTCTAATATTGTTTACTTGCCTACTTAAAGTTTGGCATTTAAAATTTCACAGTAGCATTGAGAAGTATCTTTTACAATCAGCTTCACAGATTGCTCCAAGAGCATACGGTGTGTCTGAACATGATCCATCATTGCATCATCATGTTCATAAACTCTGTAGCACCAGAACTGTGAACCCCTTTTGGCTGGGAAGAAAGAATCATCATCCCTGCTTTCTCCTTCAAAAGTCGTCTTGTCTAATTCTGCAAGATTGTCATTACCCAGAGGCATAGAGTGCAGTTCCAACTCTTCTTCATCATCATGTTTTCAAAACCAGCCTCCTTTGCTAGTTTGACTGTTTCAGTGTATATTTCCGTGTCCTCAAGCCCTTCAAAGTTGTACATAGCATCTGGATATGGGTTTTTCCGAGTCATTTCACCCAGTGGAGACGTCATCACAGAAATAATTATTTTAGACTATAAAAGGAAATGATTTCCAGAAAACCTAGACTGGAGAGTCTGTCCTCATCTGTTTCATCGATGAGTTTGCAAAATGTGTGTCACAAAGACCTGGCCTTCAGGCTGCCAATAACACCCTTTGGCAGTGTATTTGATGTTTTCCACAGTCGCAGAAACACAGCTTTTCTGTTTGAAATCTAGGTCATGTGTGCTAGCATTATCCGAGATGTAAGATTTTACAAGAGAGAGCAAATTCCGTTCATCCCACTGCTTGGGAAGTCAAACTGATTCAAAGCTGGTGTCGTACAAGAAAGTTGAACCTAGCTTCTGTATCTGATGGTGCAGCTTGTGGTGGTGCTCAAGCAGTTTGTTCCGATGCCTTGTTTTGTTAGTGGAAAAGGCTGAAAATATGCCCTCAGATATTCAGATGAGAATAGCAGTGCAGAACGCAATGCAAATTTGTGTAGCTCTGGGTATTCCGGACTGATATTGGTCTAGTACGACGGAAAGGATTCCTGGATTTGAACCTACAGCTCATCGTTTGACAACTGTATCAGCTGATTTTCCTCTGGTGTCAACAGTAACGCACTTGTTTGACAGAGAAAAGGGGCCTTGCCTCCATGCTTTGGCCTTTCTTGGACAGGCCTTCTGAAGGGAAATAATCCTCAGATTTCAAAGGCTGACAGCTCAGATGTGAAAATTCTTTCAGGTCTGTGTGTTCACTGGCATTAGCAGGCAAGTCCTGCCATAGTGGAAATGGGTCAAAGCAATAACTTAATTCGCCGCTTTGGGAATCTTGAATTTCTGAGTACTGTTGTGCACATCTGTTTCATTTGAACACATTACTTTTTCACACATTCTAAGTTTCCAAAATCTACTTTTTGCATGTCATTTCTACATTTCTCTGTTCTGTGCATTACAACTAATGCTTCTCTTTGGTTGGTAGGTCACAAAGGGGGATTTAATGTGTTGTCTTAATGACACTGAACTTCTTTCCTGTTATCAGCATGCAAATGTTTTGTCTGTCAGCAGTAATACAGAAAACTAGAAAACTATAACACCAGTAGGGAAAACTTCAAATGAAGACTTGTATGAGAGATCAAAAGGTGAAATTCTTTTCTCATCTTAAGTGTTTTGAGCAGATGTTAGGAAAATATTTAGAATGGTTAGAAAAGATATAATAGACACTGCTTGTGCTGTTCAGGAAACATTTGTTGGGCTAAGCATGAGTGGTCAGCCTTTTGTCACACACTTCTGACCACAGCCTAGAGCACCAGAGGACAGACGTGCATCAAAGACCAGCATGAATCAACTGAAACAGCTGAGCCGAAGTTGCAAACATAATGTCAGCCGGCAGGTCATGAGAAATATTATTCAGCTGCTCAATGAGAAAATGCAGCTTGAGTTGCTAAATCCAGCTTCCCTTGTTCATTCGATGGCTGTTTCTGTTCTGCCATATAGATTGTAACAGAAACCTTACTGTATATAAAAGAGCCAATGCATTGCTTCCCTCAATTGTATGACTGACCAAGGATAAGAACTGAGGTGCGTAATTATATAAAGTATAATGTGATCTATACTGTATCTAATGTATCTGTACTTGACTGTACTTTTCAAAGGAAAATACATTTTCTAGAACACAAAACGGATTGCATAAGCACATAAGAAAGACTAAGTGAGACTGAAATGTCATCTGTGTGATCTAAGGAGACGGCATGGTGACACAGTGGTTAGCATTGCTGCCTTGCAGCTCTGGGGCCCGGGGTTCAGCTCTGGACCTGAGGTGCTACAGTATCCGTGTGGAGTTTGTGTGTTCTCCTCCCTCCATTGCGTGGGTTTTTGCTGGGTGCTGCGGTTTCCACCCACAGTCCAGCACGTAGTGGAAGATCACTTGTCTTCTGGGAAAACTGGTCCTGATGTGAGTGTGTGAGAGTGAGTGTGTGTGAGAGTGTGTCCTTCGATGGACGGTGTACCATCCAGGGTGTACCCTGCCTTGTACCGTTGCTCGCTGGAGTAGGCTCCAGCTCCCCCTGTGTCCCTGAATTAGAAAATGAATGAATGCTTTATTAAAGGAGCACGGAGAGTGGCCCTCAGCCACTTACATGTGAAGTGTGATACACATCCCTGGTTAGAGGAGTGTTTCCTACTGTCTGAGATAAATTCCTTCTCCAGATCCCTGTCCTTGTTTTGGTATTGACTTGGATATTTTCTCTGAATTGGCTTGTCTAAACCCCTTTGAATGTTACATATTTGGATCAGAGATCCTCTGTTTCCTTGGTTTAGTTAATGTGTCTGTATAGGACAGTTCCCTGAGATCTAATTTTTCTAAGACTATATCATCTTTGTGTATAGTGACAGAAAACGGAAATGGAACACAAAAAAATATATAGTCCCCTCAATTAATTCAGACCCCAAATTAAATATCAAATAAAAAACATAATATATCAGAATGAGTTACAGAATGGATAATATTGTCTCAAATAAAAAAAATTCCAAACGTATTATACTGTATTTGTAATAGCACTGCACAGAGCAGACTCATATTTCTTATAAATAAATTCTAGAAAACATAAGGGTTGCGTTTATTAACACCTTTCAGTATTCCAACAAAACACGTCCACAATAACATTCTGCTCTTTGGAAGTGCAGTGGAAGCCTCTGGAATTGTATAGATGCCTCCCTGGGTTGTAGAAGGATGCAATGCAGGGAATACAGTCAGCAGGATCTGCATCATCATGGAAAAGATCAGAGAGCTCTTTGAAGACTATAGACAAATGGTTCTCGACTTTCACAGGTCAGGGAATAGCTATGAAGTTGAATCTAGTGCTTTTTATTATAATTGTGTCCGTTATTAAGACATTTAAGTCTACTGGTATATGGCCAAGAATAAGACACAAGTGTACATTGCCACCACATCTGTGGCTTCTGAAGCAGCTGTAGATCTCTAAAACGCACAGGATACAAAGTATTGAAAACTGCTATTTAAAACAGCCTGGATAAATGTGGCTCTCATAGCTGGGCTGTAAGGAACAGGCCTCTTCTGTGGGCCAATTACAAAAAGAAGCACCTCAAACTTGTCAAACATCTTGTGAACTACAGTTTGACAGGTGAAACATTCTTATAGTCAGATAAAATGAAAATTGTGTTTACGGGACATGATCATAAGCGTTATGCTTAGCTTAAAAAAGAAATGTGAAAATGCTTGTGACCACTGTGAAATATTGTGGGAGTCTATTATGTTTTGGAGTTAATTTGTGTTTATGGGTCTTGGAGTCCTGGACAAGATCAGGGAAACCCATGAACTGTAACACATTCCAGGGCATTCTGGCCAGGCAGCTGTTTTGACTTGCCAAAACCTTCATGTTTAGCTGCAATATGACATTCCAGAAGGAAAATGTCCCATAGTATATATTCAGAATGACTAAAGGAGGGGTTAACTGTATACAAAATGCAGTTCTTAACTGGCCATCTTATTCCTACGACCGCAGTCCACTTGAACTTTGGTGATTCTAATTCAAAATGGCAGTTTGTTAAGAGAACCAAAGGGTTTGAAGTGCTGTGGGCAGTTCTACATGGTGGAAATTTCCTAATTTTCCCCACTCAAGTGCCAGAACCTCATACCACACTACAGGAGGTGCCAGCTACAGGAGTGTAAATAAATGTGGGCCTTGTTTAATCTGGACGTAATGCATGGCAAGTAACGATCCTGCTCTGTGAAAGACCCTTTCTGCACAGCACTAAAATCTCGTTATTTTAGGTTAATTGTTCATATTTAATTTGGGGGTATGGATGAATTTGGAGGGAACTGCAGTTTCAAGAGCAAAATCCATCAATGAGAACTTTGGAATTGTCCGAACATATTTGAGACTGCACGTTTTGTCTTTACAAATGGCTATATAAAGTCCTGGGATTAGTTAAATACTGATAGAAACATGTTAGATGGTCTTTCCCTTATAGCCATTCTTATGCTCTAATGTTTTTGCTGTTAACCACACTATGATTGTGTAACAGTAGCAAAAGGAAGCATTATTCATTGCAAAGAAAATGGAATTATTACAAAATCTAGAAAGAAATTTTACCTCATCTCTTCAACAAATGGTTGGCTCCTAACCATATTCTACAGCAAGAAACAACAGGAACAATTTTTTTTTTGTTGCCTATATTTGTGTTGTACTTTAACATTATTATCTCTTACTTGGTTATTATGCATATGTTGTTTTTCTTTTGTTTTATGTGTCTGCTATTTGCAAATATATATTTGTGGAAAACACAAAGTCCACCCTGGTTTTGTCCCAAGGAGTGAATAACACCTCTCATTTACTTAAGTATGACATAAAAAATATCCAGGCAATTTCTTAGATTTAAACTGCCATAGCCCTGTATAGCCCTATAGCACCTCAACATCTGTTATTTTCAAATGACTCAATAGTGATAGAGCTTCTTCTATAAAATGGAACATGTTATTGGTGTCTTCTTTTCTAATAACTTACATGAAATATTTAACATGCTTACTATCTCTTTGTCATGTTTTATGACTCCCTTTATGACTTGTGTAGTTGTTTCAGTGTTATGGTATTAGAACTGCTTTTATTTTGCCTCTGTTACAGTGTTCTTTTCTGTCTGTATGTTGGTTAATTCTTGCGTCTTTTTTAGCTGTAAATCACTCTTTTATTACCTTTCAATCTTGGGCCCTCTAATGTAGTCTATAGACAGATTTCCTTCTAATTGTTGTCATTCTGTCATTATTTCTACATTACACTATTAAGCCCATATTTTCTAAGATGTCAACTTGTTTGTCTTAAAGATTAATTTGTTTTCTGTTTTTAAAGTGTTTTTTGAAGTATACTCACCTTCTTCTGTTACCTCTGAATCCCATCTGTTCCGAGCTTATTGCTTCTAAGCTCTCCTTCCTTTGCAGTCTACTATTCTAAAATTACAAGTCCTAGTTTTATACTCACACTTTAGAAATGTAAAGTATGCCATCCACATTTACAAAAACACATTTCACTTTAATTTTGTGAACTAGACACATTAGGTCAATAATAGCATCTTCACCAGGAATTGCGATTATAAACTGCACTAAGAATCTGAGTTATGTGGAAATATCAAAGTCACCCAACATTATCAGCTCACCTTTTCTGCATGCTTTCTGTATGTTGCTACAGTATATAGTCTGCAACTTGGGCCCATGTCAGTATAGCTTACATGTGTTAAGTTCTCTAACTGAACCTCCATCCCTCCTATGAAAGCTGTCTTTCCCTGTAATTGGAAAAATATACACCCATTACGTTCATATTCATCGCTGTCATCACCCTTGTCATCAGCTCCATTGCTGAAACATTGTTTTTTTTTTCTTCCTTTCTACTATTCAGCGTGGAATTAACTGTTTCTTATCCATGTTGAGCTACTTTCTATCACTTAGTATCTCAGTATAAATTGTTTTTAACATATCGTGCTTGAGTGATACACTCATTTGACAGCATATCCACTGATACAGTTTAATTATTGATTGATTGATAGTACAATCTGGTTTAAATAATCATTGGAAGCTTTCAGTCAGATCATCACATTCAAATCAGTCACTTAAACACGCCACCCACACATAATGAAACAGCTTGTGATGTCTAAACATCTTTACTTCTTATTTCACACGTGATGTTCTAGTGTGTAAGTGAAGGAAGTTAAACACTCTGGCAAGTACTAACCAAAACGGTCTTTAACCTTCGCTTATAGATTGATTTGACTTTGCCCATTATCATGAACTTTCTTTTCGTTTTATTCCAGGGAAAAGAAGGTGCAAAAGTGGAACCCTGGGAGGATGCTAACTTCCACCTGTACAAAGTCATTGACCGATTTGGATTCCTACAGTAAGACAGTTTATTTCCGAAAGGAAATCTTTCCGAGCAACAGCGAAAGCTCACTTGTGGATACTTGTTTTCACGGGTTTTAATTTTTTTGCGGTGTTCTGTTGTTCGGCCTTCTTCTTTCACAGAGGATCCTGCTGTTGTTCACACTCAGCCTGTTGCCAAGACAGAATCTGAATTTTCAAAGGGGATCTTCAGCTCTTTTGGTCTTCATATTTTCTTAGGCTTTCCATTTAAAACTGATTTTGAATACGTTCAAGTAGGTAGCCGCATCAGCATGCGTAGGCAGCAAAGTAACGACAAAGGTTTATTCCATGCTGAAAAGAGAAAAAAAGAAACAACATTTTGGCTGTGAAGCCTTCTTTGGGTGCATCTCTTCTCTTTTCAGCATGGAATAAACCTTTACTTTTGAATATTGTATCTGTTGAATGGTGCAGGTTTGTATGTTCTCCCCGTGTTTGCATGGGTTTTTTCCCCATAGTCCAAAGACGTACTGTAGGTTAATGGGCTCTGGTGTGAGAATGTGTGCGTCTGCCTGTGATGGGCCGTCCAGTGTGTATGCTACACTGTGGCTGTTGCTTGTCAGAATAGGATCCAGCTTCTCTTTGATCCTGAATTGGATTCAGTTGTTAGAAAACGGATGGATAGATAACTGCACACTGTGTTGCAGCGTAGTCAGGTTTGTTTCTGTGATCGATGACTTCATGTATATTAACAGATGGATGGATGTTTTGTATACATCATTGACTTAATCTGTGTTCAGTCAGATTTAAAACATTGTATTGCCATGTATCATTTCATCTTGCTGTTTTGGCCTATGGTTTTAAGAGGAATTTTAAGTGGCTGTGACTTTTGTAAAGATACTTTATCAATACAGCAGACCATTGATGAGATTCACCATTGTTTTATCACATTAGTACAGTATATGGATATTTAGTTTGATTTCTGAGCAACTTTATCCTGTTGGTTTCGGTAACCTGTTTTAAAGCATGTGTCCACAAATGTTGAAAAAGCAGGTTGACCATGTACATTACATTTAAGCTGCACACTGTGTAGTTGATATCTTTAGTTTGGGATTTCTGTTGATTACAGTAGGAATGCAAAGTAGGGCATTATCATATGACCTAAGGGTTCAGAAAGCAGAAAGCCAAAGACCAGATCACTTTGGCATCTAAGTCATGCTGTTGAAAGTTTTTTTTCATCTCAGCTGGTATTCCACAGGAGGTTACAGATACATAATCAGATCAGGAGTAGTGTAGTCTAAAGTGCTTCCTGTGGGTGAAAGCTATGAGAGCTGACTCAGAAGCACAGTTTCCATGTCTTTCTTTCATGTCATCTTTTCTCCCCTCCCCAAGAGAAAGATTAGATAAAATATGAAAGCATTCTCCTTTTGTGCTAATTTGATCAAGCCACCCTGGACAAAAACGCACTGAGCTATGCGAGGACTGGGCTCAGGCCACAATATGCTCCATTCAGGGGCCGAAGTATCAGAAGGGCAGCAATTTAATATGCAGCAGAGACCATGAGTGTCAGTGCTCTGCATGACGGGAAGCTACAAAATGCAAAAAAAAACAGTCAGTTCAATGGAGTCTGGCAGATTTGCCTGGTTTGTGCTTTGATATCTCCCAATTAAGAGCTGCCAGTGGTAGGAAATCACTGCTGTGAACTTTGCTGTATGTTTTTGTGCCTTTTTTTAAAGGCTTCTTAGTTACAGAAACAGTTTTCTGAAAGCCAGCAGTCTAAATTTGATATTTCCTGTTTGTCCAGCAATTTCATGTCTTGGCTTGCTCCCAGTGTGTTACCAGGATGGTAGAGCTAGGGATTGGGAGTGATTGTGGAACTGTGTCAGTTTATCAAGGGATTCTTCAGACGGATGTAAAAAGTTACCATTTACCAGTATTATATAGCATGTGTATGTTTATAAATCAGACAATATGACATTTTGAAAATTGTTCTTGTATGTAATACAGTATGTGTATTACAGATACTGAAAGGCTAACATATTTAAAAGCTTGCTTGAAAATACTGTTACTGTTGATTTTGTTGCTCTATGCTATTTAATTTAAATCCCAATCATCATTATTCATTGATTTAGAATAAGTTAACATTTTCTACATTCTACATGCTTACTAATAAGTTTGCTCAATAAAAATACACCTTGTATAGTTAAAGTATAAAACTTCAAAAAATAGACCTACTTCATATGTTTATTCCATCACTGTACAGAGGGATCAAGGGTAGTGTGGGATCTTAATTTGTATTTCATCCATTAGGATTATTATAAAGACTTTGAAAATCTTTGGGGGAACAAAATGCAGAACGGGTTTATTTTATTTTCATTTGGATAGCAAGATTGTTTGAAGGCTGACAGCCTCAAAGTTATTTTTGTTTAGCTAAAAAATCAGGATAAGTGACTAGTGTAAGTCTCAAAGTATAAAAACTAAAGAATTATAGCTCCTTGAAGGACAAACAAACTGTGAATAAAATATGAATAAGATAATAAATGAATTAAATGATTTTTCTCTTAAGTGAAATGTAATTTTGAATTGTTTTTTCTCTAACAGTGAGAATGAGCTTCCTTCATATGATTCAGTTGAAGAAAAGGTAAACACCTACACTTTTGGGACCATTGGTTCGGTTATGGGGTGCTATCCGCATGGAGTTTGTGTGTTCTCCCCGCGTTTGCGTGGGTGTTTTCCGGGTGCTCCAGTTTTCACCCACAGTCCAAAGACATTCCGGAAGGTGAATTGGCCTGTTGGAAAAGCGGCCCTCCTGTGAGTGTGTGCGAGTTGGTTTCTTTGTCTCTCCAGAAACCAGCTCCTGCAAGCTTACTGACTTCCACCCTCTCCCGGGCTACACTCTTCTAGCCTTGTGTCGCTGTTTGTAGACCCAGTTCACAGCTGGTGACAAGACCCAAGCTCCTCCCGTTGGCGTTTGCTGCTATAGAATTCAACTTGCTCTTAGAGCTAGTGCCTTCACTGGTTGACCTACCCAGGAACCCCAGATGATCCCTTTTTAACCACCCAGAAATAACCAGTTGGTGTTGCTGAACCTTTACATCCCCCAAACGACTGGCCTTAGAACTGGCCTTTCACTGCTTTATCCTGGTCCTGCAGGAGTGCTGTACCCATGGACACACTGTATACTGAAGATTTTGGACAAGAGCCGAAGGTTTTCAGTGGGATCCAATCCAGAGCAACCTTCTCTCATGTTAAATGCAAGTCAGGGATGGTCTCCTCTTCCCTCACAACCCCTGTTTAGTTTTCCTCACCCACAACATAGCTTTACAACTCAAATGCAAAGGTTTGTAAGCATCTCTACCTCTGGACCTGTGGAGGTGAGAAGCAACAACAGCACTCCTACATGCATTCCATAAGTTAATGCTCTAGGGAGAAGCTGCCTGATCCATATTTAGCGAAGTGAGAGTAGTGTTTCACTGTCAAGAGGAGATAACGTCTGCAGCCTGGACTCAGCAGGCAGTGATCTGCTGGTCCCATGACCCAACTTGTATTCCTTGGAAGGCGTCGACATAGACATCTTTGTCTAAGAATCCACTGCATCCCATCTCTTGTTTCAGAAAGAACAGTGTTTGAAGACAATGTGACTGCAATCTCTGTCACATAGAGTGGAATCTTTCTGGTACAACTCACATGATAATGAGCTCTTGTTGTGGTTCTTTGCAGCAAAAGCATCAAGAAGTTGAAAGAACTGCAAAATGGCTGAAAATGCTGAAGAGCTGGGATAAATATAAGAACAGTGAAAAGGTAAGCCGAGACTATTAAGCTGCTCTTCTGTGGTGTTTGTCTGCAATACATTGACAGTTTTTAATAATTAAAAAAGTGGTATTGCAAGGAGTAGAAATATGGAAATTATAATATGCACACCGGTCACACAGGTGTGAAAGGGCTTTGCTAGCTGTAAAGAGCACGTGACTTCTATTAATAGAAATACTTTCTATTAGCACTAGACTAGAGGATCATCTATATGGAAATAACATCCTAGGAAACGGTCAACGTGGATTTAGAAAAGTAAGGTCTTCTTTCACCAATGTGTTAGAGTTCTTTCAACAAGTGATGAAAATAATAGACACATACTGTATGATGTGTTATGGACATACGTGATATGGTAATTTTAGATTTTCAGAAGGCAATTGATAAAATTCCCAGTAGGAGATTAATTCCCATATTGCAAGTAGTTGGCATTCAAGGAAATGTGTGTATTTGGATGGAAAATTGTTTAATGAATAGAAAAAAGAGCACACATAAAGTGTTAATGTTCAGAATTTAGTGATGCAATTAGTGGAGTACAACAAGGATCTGTTCTAGGACTGCTGTTGTTCTGAATTTATATCAGTAAATCTAGGTTCTGGTATACAGTTAGTAAACTTCACAAGTTTGCAGATTACACCAAATTAGCAGAATTGGCAAACACTGTAGAAGAATCAAATTAAATTTAATATGATTTAGTTAAAATTCAAGATTGGGCAAACACCTGGCAGATGATGTTTAATGTAGACAAGTCCACGATATTGCACACAGGTAGCAAAAACATGAACTAAAAGTACAAAAAGGAAAACAATGAGCTAGAAGAAGCTACTTATGAAAATGAGTTTGTAAATAATATATCATAATAAACATAATTCCTGGCAATGTTGAGAAGCAATAAAAAGTGCTAGACTGTATTGTCAAAGGAGTGAATTCAAAACAAGGGATGTTAATTTTAAATTAGAAAATGCACTCATTTGGAATATTGTGAACAAATTGAGTCAATTTTAGTAGGTAATTGAGGTTGTTGATAGTGAAACCCCAAAAGGCGTTTTTAAATGTTATTTCAGGTTTCATTTGAAATATATTTTTTTATTTTCTGTATTGTATGTACTGAAAATATGCTGTGAATACCCATCTTTTTAAAATGTTAACAAAACAGATATAAGAAATAACTTTCTAAATTAGAAATCTTTTGCTGTAAATATTCCAACAATATCATCTGTCTGCTCAGATAGCAGCTTAATGCTTGTGAATTCTCAAAGAGTTACTACGCAGGGAGGTACCATAACACTTCTACGGTCTTAATACCATATACTGCTGTCCACAGAATGTTTGATTTTAAAAAATCAAATTAAAAATAAAAACTGAGATTGAGAGAAGATTAGTATTTTTATATCAGATGCAGTGCAGATATTCTTTAATGAATCTGTCTACTGTTTCAGGATTTCTTGTCTATTTTGGAGTCTGAGGAATTTGTTAATTTAGGAAACATATAATGATTTGCCTAAAATGCAGTCAATATGCAGTACTGTGCTAAGTGTTTTATACCTACAGTGAATGGAGTCTTTGGGAATGCTTAGTGGTTATAATGTAAATTGATTGCTACAGCTGCATACCCATCTGTTCAACATGGTTTCAGCCTTGGTGGATCTTTAACATCAACAATTAAATTAAATCGTTTATCTTCTCTAGCAAGTTTATTTTAATAGCATAATAAAGAAAAGTCATTACCGTGATAGCTGTGTCTGCACTATTTCTGCAACTCTTTATTATCTTTGTCGTTTCCATCACAGGATAAAAGGATTACCAGTCTCTGGAATTAGCCGAATGGCATCATTTTTTTTTCCTTCCAGAAACATTTTTCTTTTTTTTCCCATTTTCAAAGTACTTATTTAAAGTGCATTTCAGGGTTCATTTTTAAGTAACGGAAGACTCGGAGCCGTGCTCAGTGATAATTCCTTCTGAACCCATCAATGCAAATAGCATTTTAAGTTTGACATTTTTTTGTCTTCATTAATGGGTTATCATAGGTGAACGATTTCAGCTATGAAATACAGAACACGGTCTCCGATTCCCAGTAAATTCCAAATTAAAATGTCAAATCCAAAGCAGCAATAGACTGCTAGACAGTATGATTATTCAGCAGTAGACTGCAAGACTGTATGATTATTGATGAAAATTTAAAGTGAGTTAAATAACTGTGATGGATGGCACAGTTTCTTTGTCTTCTTTAAATCTCCTCTCTCCATTACCTTTCATTAATGTTCGAGATTGATTTTTGTTCTATCAAAATGGAATGTGTGACCATTACAGGTTGAGAAAATTATACCTTTCACATGATGTCGGTATATTTATTCAGATGGACTTTATTTTATTTCGAATGGCCCATTATTTTCTTTTTTATACACCCAGCTGCAGGGCTGTTATTTGTTAATCATTTCAAATCACCTTGACAAACATCAGACCAGCTCAGGAAAAATGAAAATGGGGTGTAGGGGGTAATAAATGAGGGGGCTTTGTTTGAAAACCACCTACAGTATTTGAATGGAAGTGAGATGGCTCAATTAGATATTAGCCTCCAGTGGGAGTGGGCTTCAACATTAAGAAAAGAGCAATTAGGCTCTGTGTATAACTGGCCACTCCCCTGGATTAGTGAGCTGGTGTATATCAGCAGCCCTGAGGAAAAGGATAACTAGTCTCCTAGGCTCCTGCAGAAAAGGATTGTATAGAGTCTGATAGATGGACGTAGAGTCTAGAGAGCACAGCTGAAGTCCTAGGGGTTCCTGTGCTTTAATATCAGCAGACAGGTGGACCCACTCTGTGGCAAAAGGATGATGATTGGGAAAAGATGATTAGTGTAGGAAAGATACAGGGTGGTTTGCAGCTCGGAGTCATTCTGTCACTTCACATTTCTCTCAACCCCACCAGCAATCATTGTGTTGCTGGTCGTAAAAAAAGGCTTTTACTGCCTTTTTTATATGTTTCTCTTCACTGTTTTTTAATTTATAGCATAAAATGTCCTTTCTGTCCTGCCTGTATTTGCACCGTGGATGAGGAGGAACGATATTTCAAAATAGGAAGTTATGTTGCTTCCTGTAGCACAAGACAATTTATTTTCCCGATGACGCTGGTTATGAGAAAACAGTTGTGAGCTGTATGTAGTTTAAGAAAGCTTGTGCTTTCAGTGTTCAGTCCCAAAAAACACATGTGATTGACTTTATCTAGTGCTTGTTCTTTCACTAGGTTAATGGTGAGGACCTGGTTTTCACAACTCACAACATTCTATGGCGTCATGTTACTTGGCTACAAGTAATAACACTGTCTTCCAAGGACCATACCTTGCTAAAAGCTTCATATATTGTATCTAATATAATGTCATGTCTTTTTTAGAGGGCTCTGATTCTAACTAGATTATCAGCATTGACATCTTAATATTGCCATTTGTTACACAGGTAATCATTCTTAAAATATAAAAATAAGAGCAAAAAAATTATGTATTGTAATGTTTCCTCTTATTTCATAGTTTGTCTGCAATCGTTAATAAAGAAGTCTCTTCTCGTTCCTGGCACAATAGTACGTAGTATCTAGGAGTTATTGTTGACCTTAAAAATTGAGTGCATTGGAAAATTTACAGTTCATGACAAGTCCTCTCTGTGGCTTAACTGCATAATTTACAAAACAATATCAAAACAAGTTTTTATTACTGTTTTTTATGTTTTTATTTACCTTTTCTAATTTAAAGCAGTAATTCAGCCATTTTTTCATTTCATTTTATAAACCTTTTTATCACCACCAGTGTCAAGTATCTTAATAAATCTGAACTTTTGTGTTAACAGGAGAGAGCAATTTCATATTACTCTAACAGCAAGAAGCATAACTAACTCTTGATATAGCTATTTGATAGAATGTAAATGAGGCATTTAGTAGTTAGGTTTTGTAGTCCTTCTCAGTATTGTTGCTCAGGTTATTGAATGAAAACAGTGACTGCTGTTACCGTATCTCTTTGTACAGATGTTAAATTAATTTTAGATAGTAATTGAAGTGTGTTGGTAAGTTTTCTCTTAATGTCCAGAAATGGTAATCTTTTAATAGTTTCTGCACAGCCTCTAATATGTTTTGCATGTTCTGTTTTAATTATCCAAAAGGATGCAATTCAAGAAATAATTCAGCATTTGGTATACATTATAAGTCCAACATATATCCAAAATATATATTGCTATTGTTTGCCTTATAGTATTTGTATTAGAAATACAACAGTAGCAGTTCTTAATTCTCAGCAGATTTAAATATTCTAAGTTGAAAGACCTCTTACTAGGTTCAGTGTATTATAAAAAAATCAGATATAATTGGGATTACTTCTGAACTTGTGATGTGCAGTAGTAATGCACATTACCTCATCCATTTGTGAATGCTTTTTAAACATATTATGACTTGCAATATCTTGTAATTATGTAAAGTGAAGAACTGTACTAATCCTTCATAAATGATTTGATGTATATGTTACAAATTGACATTTTGATTACAGAGCACGCAATCAGCATTCAAGATAAAGCCTTTAGGGATAAAAAAGAATATTCCAGGCCTTCATGTTCCTATTGTACATAAGCTGTGTTTTACCAAATTGTTTATTTGTGACCGTTGTTTAAACAGTTGGATGGTGTTTGCACTATGCTATTGCTAAGGGGAATAATAGGTACCATTTTATATTTTATTTATTTTGCCTTTTATTAAGTTGTGAGCTCTGCCTCTGTGCATCTTTATTGAAAATTAACTTGCAAAATAGTGCTGAGTTAGTAAGAGACATTGAAATTAAATTGTGACGCAGAGTCATATCTGTATTTTATAAAATCCCTCATTTTCATTGTTTTAATTTACTGTACTACTGCTGCAAAACATTTTAAAGCAAATAAAATCCTGTTTTTCACTTCTTAATATCATTTTTATGCAATGCTTAGCATTTACCACTTGTGCACTAGTTTCCTTCTGCAGTCCAAGGACATACTGGCAGGTCAGTTGTCCTCTTGGAAATTGGTCCCGGTGTGAATATGTGTGCTTAAGTCTGTGTGTGCCCGTGTCTGGTGTCTGGCCCAGGGTATTTCCTGCCTCTCACCCCTACTCTGCCTCCCTTGCAACCTTCTATTAGATAAAGTGGTTAGGAGATGGATGGATGCTCTGCTGTTTTATTTCTGTTTCAAAGCTAAGTGGAGGTATTATTGCAAGTGAATAATGTGATAATGCTTTGAGAATGGCAAAAGGACATAATATTTACAGAACAAGTAATAGGTTTTTTCCATGCTGAAAAGAGAAGAGAGAAAACAACGTTTCGGCAGTGGAGCCTTCCATGGCCGAAACGTTGTGTTTTCTTTCTTCTCCTTTCAGCATGGAATAAACCTATTACCTGTTCCTTTGCAGCCTACGTATGCTGACACAGCTACCCACCTAATATTTATGGAGAACATCTTCCTTGAGCTCAGACTTTCTCTACAGATTTGTTTTGATATAGAGTTTTACACAGTGTAATCAAGGTCAAAAGGAATATGTTATATATGGGAATTCCTGGTTAGTTTCATATCGATGTGATGTATTCTGAAAACATATTTCAATATGCTTCTTTGCAGCTTATGAGAAGAATTTATAAGGGGATCCCACTTCAGCTTCGAGGGGAAGTCTGGTGCTTGCTTCTTGATATTCCAAAAATAAAAGCTGAGAAGAAGGATTTTTATGAGGTAAAACGACAGCTGGAGATATCCTTGTGTTTTTTATATGTTACTGTTAAAACATCCTGTAAAATTATTATTTATTAAGTGATTTGGCTGATAGTTTGACCCAAAGCAATGTACATTTTACCAATTTTAAAATGCTGACCATTTTACTAAAGCTGAGTGAAGTTACCTGGCTTTGAGTGTTGCAACAGCAGTGTCAGCCTGGAGATTGAACAGGCAAGTCAGGAGTCACAACCACAATATCAATCCATTTTTTTTATTTTAATGTTTCATTCAGTGACATTTTGTTAAAAAACTTCTGCGGTGACCCTGGCCTCCAGTAGTTAATTTCTTCTTAGTGACCAAGTTAAGTCTGATTGAAAGGAGCAGCCTATAGTTAAATGCTCTCAGTGTAATGGGTTCTTCAGTGAAGATAAATTCTGTGTTATTAAATGCCATGAACACTGCAGTCATGTAGCCAGTCTAATATTACCGAACTGTCTTCTTTCCCCTTGTTATTGAAGAAACTAAAGCAGAGAGCGAAAGATGTTTCTCCCGATATCAGGCAGATTGATCTTGACGTGAACCGCACTTACAGAGACCACATCATGTTCAGGGATAGATACGATGTGAAGTAAGTACAGATCTTAAGCTGTGCAAAGTGAACTGCTATCGAGTATATGGGTATCTTTGAAAGTATTACATCCACAGATTGACTTCATGATCTTTCTGAAATATGTCTGTCTTTTTCTGAACTGACTGAAGTAATCTAATCCATATGTGATTAGATTGTCACTTTATAAACATATATATTTTAGGTCAGCAGAAAAAGCTGAAGTTTTTAGTCAATTTTGGCAACTGAAAGCATTCAGGAACATAGCATTCTGCTTGAAGCACAGGTGGGACACTATAGTGTAGATATTAATTGAATCTGAACTAGGTAATTATCTGACTGTGGTAGGAATGTCCAGATGAATAATTGGCTATTCCTGTACAGTATATGAGAAATGAAAACAATTCAGCACTATGCTTTTAAGTACAGTTGTCATGCCAACAGTCCTGTGCATGCTGTTGTAATTCAGTCAGAATTGACAGGAATGATGAGGATACGTTTAAAGTAATGTCTTCACATGCACTTCTTAACTTGCAGAATAAAACATGGAGTGAACTTTAAGGAAAAATGTAATTACTATTAAAAAAAACATACCCGTGTCTGCAAATGCTTATCAATCCCTAAATGAAGAGCAATGGAAATGCATATTTTGTATCACACTGTATTGATATTCTGAAGGGAATAATAAAGTTCTATTCCAGAGACTCCAGTGCATCTAAGTGGAAGTACTGGATTAGCACTTGCTGTTTAAGTCACCAGAAGATAGAAGACCATGACAAAATGTGTGAATGCATTGCCATAAATTTCTGGGGCTTCATACAGACGTTTGGTGAATGCCGCTGGGTGATGGAGTGCTCCATTATTTCTGTGTTAAAGCAAAGACAAACTTCCCTTTACCTCAGTGAAGCAATTTAGTACATGTTGCTGCTTAAGGGAGTTGACCTTTCAATACTGCAGTGAACTGTGTAGAAATATATACTTCTTTCATTTTACTCTCTGAGGGCCCAGTGTCTTTAAAGCCCATAGGGAGTAGAGGATGAAAATTACTTCAATATAACAAATTCTTCCCTAATTTAGCTCCGTGCAGTATTTACTGAATGACCTTGAAATTCTTTAGCTATACACTGTTAACTAAGTAAATAGACAGCAGAGTTCATTCCTACCTGTTTCCATGGAGATAGGATACTAAAGGATCCATGCTTGACAAGCCGTGTGTTTTGCTGCGATTATGTCATGTCTGGTGTGGTGGGGCAGGAGCCAGCAAGCCTTGAACGTTCACCTGTCCAGAAGTGACATTATCCCAGCACAGCACACACCCAGAAGTGCATTGTTTCATTGCACAATGACTTGTATGTAGTTGTATGTATGTGAGTTTTTTGTCAGGTTAAATAATTACTAAATATTCTTTCACCACATTGGGTAGTTCTTGTTGTGCATGCCAAGGTGATGCGTGGTTCCTTCACCTAGGTGGCATGATGGCACAGTGGTTAGCATTGTTTCCTTTACAGTATGGGGGCTCTGGGTTCAATTCCAGACCTGGGGTGCTATCTCTGTGAAGTTTGCATGTTCTCCCCGTGTTTGCATCAGTTTTCACCGGGTTCCTCCCACAATCCAAAAGAAATTCTGGCAGTTCAATTGGCTTTTGGGATAATTGGCTCTGAAGTGAGTGTGTACCTTGCACCCATTAATGGCTGGGATATGCTCCGGCTCCCCCATGACTCCGTATTGGATAAAGCAGTTAGAAAATGGATGGATCGGCTCTTTACACTTGCTGGAAATTCATGTGTGATGTTAGTCTGAAACTGACCAATTAAAACCCAGCATTCTCTTGCAATTGTACATTTAATTTTCCGTTAACTTTCATACTAAGAAAATAGATATTTGAAAGTAATTTAAAATAATATTTGGACATTTTCTTCATGTTAACAATAAAAGGAAATATATCCTTCTTGGTACCTTGTTCTAAATTATTTTGACATCCTTCATGTCAAGTTACAGTTTTACACTTTTCTGAGATGTGAGATGCGTCTTCTCTTGGATTCTGAAATTCAGATTATTTCTTCAGGGAGTTCTGCATTAGTGCTCTTACTCAATGATAGAGATTGAATGAAAGAGGTGCAGTATTTTTTAGTATTGTTCATAGCATAGGACATAACTATTTGTTCTAATTAATGGCACTCTGTGTCTCGCATCTGTTTTATTCAGATTTTTCTTGAAAAAGCCTATGATAAATAGGTTAATATTAACTGAGATCAAAAACACAGTATGTTGATCTCTGCAAGATGCTGAAAATGTTCACTACAGGGAATAATGTGACATTAGATTTACAGTGATTTAGTTAGAAAAGCTGATTAAAAAAAGGCAAAATAAAGCCAAACAAAGACCAAAATCAGTAACTTGGGAACTAATTATCAGGAGACCATAAGAACTTCCTGATTAAATCTTAGTCATAGCTCTGTTAGGACAACATCCACAATACCAACAAGATCAAAAAAGAGATTCAGCTCCAGTCACTGCATGATGACATGCTGGAGGTCAAACATGCAGTGAAACTCTTCAGAAATTAGATGACAACAAACAAATGTCAGACTCACTCAACAGTGCTATATGGTAGTACTTTATTTCTTTTAGAAAAGGGAGACAATTACTTTTACTTTTACTGAAATAAAAGCAGCAAAGCGGTCACTGAAAACCTCACAACAGACTGCAGAGGATGCTGGATTTCTCTCGGCTAAAAGAACAAACAGGATTTTGAGATGGATTCAGCACCATTGATGACTAACAAGGTGTCAGGGTAGTATTTCCCCCAAGCTGTTTACAGAAGCTTTGGAAGAAGTCTTCAAGACTCTTGAGTGGGAAATCAAGGCTAAAGAGTAACTGATGGCACATAAATATCTTCCCAGGATTCCAGGAGAAAAGGTGATAACCAACTGGGAGGCCTTGTGAAAGATGGAATGGAATTTTATATTAGGAAGTTTGAGAGAGCACCCTAGATTTGACAAACTGAAGATGGGGGGGTCTGTGAAATAAATTGAAAAGGGATAATGATGATTAGATAGATCAATTTGTTCATTCCATATCCAACATAAGAGTCATTATAGTTATCAGACAGTGTTGTATACCCATAACTAGTAAATAGTAAAACTAGATCAAGCTTGTCTTTCTACTGTATGTATTTGTTGTATAATGTATTATAGGCTCCTCCTGGTAATGAACAGCCATGTTCTAACAGGTCTTTCATCAATATGCAAAGACCTGGAACATGTTCGTTTTGATCAATTTAGTAAATTAATTCAGTTAAGTCGAGAATAGTCAACAGTGGCCCTTGAGGGCTACAGGGTGTCGGGATTTTCTTTACAGATGGGTTCCAAACCACCTAATTGAACAAATCATCAATACTTGGTCAAAACCCAACTGGCCAGGTGCCCAGGATTCACCACCCCTCATACACAATCTGATTCCTTGTATATAAATAAAATCACTGAGTGCTCACAGTGCTTATTAAATCTCCCATCTTATAAAACAAGACTGATTTATACACTTCTAAGAGCTATACTGTGTGTTACTCATTGTGAGACATATCATGCTTCAGTTATGTCTAGGTGTAGTTTGTGTTTAAATGTGGAGTCTTGTGTGACACCTGACATTGAAAAACTTATAGAAATATGACCAGTTTACAGCACTACAGTTTCACACAAAGCAATTCCACCAGGATTTCGTCTCATTTTAAGAATATAAATAAGAGACCTCAGTGAGAATTAAATTGTATTTTCTGTGAGATTAGACAGGTGTTCCCTTGGGTCTTTTCTTAGGCCTGAATGCAATTCATGAAGGTTAGTGCTGAGCCTTCATTGTAAGAAGTTACGGTATACCGGTCAGGTAATATTGTTCTTCTCTTCAACTTGAGTGGGATAACAACCCACTAAGATTCATCTGGTCTTGCTCTATATGAACTTCATGGTCTATTTGCACCAATTGGAGAAATCAAATACTTTGAATACTTATTGATGAGCCAAACACAATCCAGTATTGAGATGAGTTTGATGCATCTTCTTTTTGTGCAGGACTTGACATCTTTGATCCTTGAGCAATTCTCTGCTCAGCTGGGTAAATGCCTTCGGGCCACTGAGTGATTCTATCACCGGTGCAAAGCGAATTGCAAGTTATTAAATTGGACCCATTAAGCCAATAATGGGCTGTTTCAGGTCATTATGATCCTAGTTAGAATGAAAACCTGCAGACAAACAGGCACTCCAGTACCAGGACTGCCCAACCATGGTCTGATATTCTCACTGTTCTACTGATATCTTCTCCCACCTCAAGGCACCACTGAGTTGTACAAACAGCAATTAAAAAGCCTAGTCAATTCCTACGGTGATAATAATTATACAGTATGTGTAGCCCCTACACTGTGCATGTTGCATGAAGATAATGGGGAGCTGTGAAAAATATTTGCTTCACCACAGGGTAATTGTGATGTTCCTGTCGCATGTCTTCTCACTGTGCCTGTCCTGGTGTTTCCTCTCTGTGATTTCCTTCTTATTCATCCTGGAAATAAACAAAGAAAATCAATTAAGTTGTTCTTATGGGAACATGTAACCATGTGAAGTAAAACCCTCTAGTTCAGATATGTTCTTTACGATCAAGATGTTTCACGTTTCCTTTTCTTGATCAAGAATCTCAATGTTTTACATTTATTCACAAAAAACTATAGCCATAAATATTCATTTAAACAATTTTCACTTGACAATAAATTTGTAGTTCTGGCATATTATCAAGAAACATCATTATAAAAGGGTTATTGTTAAAGGAGAATTTGTGTGATGTATATTTGTCAAAAGGGACTTTTTTATTGCTATTCATTGTACCATGAAATAGCATTTTGTGCCTCAATTAAGGAGTCATTTCTAAATACGATTGCTTGGTTTACCGAAGAACTTCTGACTCATAAAAATTGTTTTTTTTATAATTCCATAAACAGAGCATTATAGTGACAGAATAAGAGTGCATCAAGTTTTCTCTTTCAATTTTCTTGACATCTCTCAACACAGAAGAAAAACAATAGATGTTGCCTTTTATAATATAATACAAATAATCACAAGGAGGGAAGGGTCACATAAGAGTCTTGCTTTGCTGAGCTCAATAATATGTAAAGGCAAGGCATGCCATACATTTCTAAGAACTAGTTCTACTGATTGTGCACCACCTCAAGGAAGAATATTGTGCAGATTGAGAAGAACAAGGAAGACCAGTCAAGCATTAAAATGCAAAAGAGGAGTCAAAGTTTGCAGACAGATTTGAGTAGAGTTCTTGTGGCACAGGGCAGATTGGCAGAATATTTATATACCTTTTCTGTAATTATGGTTGGTGGACACAGCTGTCCATAATTTCTAAAAAAAATTGCTACATTGGCCATACAGTTTCTGGATGAAAACTGAAATCATGCCTTGTTGTATTAATGTAGTCATTTGAAAATACCATCTGATTCTACCTGTTTATAGCAGTAATTGTTCTGTTTAAATACCCCAGCAACCTTGGTTACTTTGGACGTGTGAATGACACAATAGTAGTATTTGGTTAAGGTTGTTGATACCCGTCTGGTTGCATTAAAACCATTTTAATTTTATGGTAATCTAGATGTGAATTAATCTCTAAGAAGCTGAGCTTTCTCTGACATTGAACCACTCTAACGAAACCTTAAGCAGCACTGATTGAAACATGAAGTTGAGCAGCAAGCATTAACTAAAAATTTCATTTCTGTTTTTCTGTCATGTGAACATTTTGTCTCTTGGAAAGGAAATTTCAAATTGCATTGCTTTACGCAAAGAGTGGGAGCATGGAACAAGCTACTCAGCCACGTTGTTGAAGCCAGTACCTTTGCTTCTTTCAAGAAACAGCTAGATTAGACCCTTGGGTCATTTAGCTATTATAAGACAAGCAGGCTACATACTGTAGACCAAATGGTCTCCAATTCCCGTTTGCAATCTTTATGTTAACATATTTACAATTCCACAGTGTTATCAAGGCATTTCTCTCTAGGCTTCAAGCTTTGTGGAATTTTATGAGGGGTTGTTTGACAAATGATGGCTTTCATAACATGGATGTGTATAATACTATACTAGGGCACATCATCTATATACAAGAATTATTAATCCGTAGTGTGTAATATGTCCTTCATTTCAGGAAATCTTACCAGTACTCTATATACCATAGCTATATGTATAGTTTTGGCAAATGCTTCTTAAAATTACTGAACTTAATGGAAACATAATCAAGAGAAAACAGTAGTAGGGCAGATGTCTCTTTAAATGCGGTTATATGCAGTTATAACTGCTTTAAGGTTAAAAATGTGCTGCATACTGTAAAAATGAGGATCTTTTTTCCTTGTTATAGTGACACGCAGATGGCTTCTTTCATTTGTTTTTTTGGCCTGTAAAATTCTAGTTAATGCAGCTCTCAAATTTCTGGCTATACTGTATGTTCATCCTGCTCCAGTTTCTGTAAAACAGCTTCCCTAAAATAAGGTGTTTAGTTTCTGGTTAGTATTAGTGGAGGAATTCAGGAATTTTAACTTAATTGGTCTAGTTTATTACACTTGTATTTTAAAAAATAACTTTTTCCATTTTTTTTTTTAATTCACAGGCAACAAGCCTTATTTCATGTCCTAACGGCTTATTCCATGTATAACACAGTAAGTGATGTTTACACTGCTGGTCTGAATATTTCATAATCTTATTTATTATTTATTGAGCACTTAAGAGTTTGAATTGTTCTTCATGGAGAGAACATTAATTGAAAACTAATGTGTGGTCTTCAAATTGAAAAGTGCCTTTGTAACACAGAAATTGATCGCTGTCAGCTGTTAGCTTCATGCCCATCCTACCACATGGAGAGCATTATTCTGGTATTAATTGTGTTTGTGTGGGTGGCGCAGTAAAGCCTTGGGCTACACATCGTAACAACAGCATTCCTGCTCAGATGAAATGGATGAAGCTGCTTTCACTGCTAAATTTCCTAGCTCCGCTTATGTCATGTATTCTTCTAGTTTGCCACATCGGCAACTCTGCAAAGCTGTTTCTTTTCTACCTCTTTTGTGCTTTTTGAATCTCATGCCTGTTATGATCTAGTTTGTCTGTGCTCTTTGTTGGATTCTGCTTTCGTCTCGTTATAGTGCTTGCACAAAAGAGCATGTCACTGAAAATCTGTTCTGAACCTATGAATTATTAAAGATCTCATCGTCAGCACAGCAGTATCAGTCCCTCTCTTGAGGGATCTCTCTGGTGATCTCCAGTCTGCTATACTGAACATTTTATAGAGCTCACTGAAATTTCTTCTTTTTAATAGGCTATGCCTACTTTAATTCTTAATGTTTAAGCTACAGTGTCCAATCTAACAGATGGCATGCTTGTATTAATAAACTAGATGAAAACTAGATTAAATAAAACTTTAGAGATAAAAGTTTGGAAGGTACAAATGATATACAGAAGTACTGGAGGTGGGAATGAATTGAACCTTATTCCTCAGGCGCCCAGCTTCTAAGTTTCTTGGCAACTCTTAACAAATAGTGGAAAAAATAGATATTGTCTTAGTACGATTGACTTCAGAGAGGGCTGCTCAAGGAAAACAAGGCACTGAATACAATGAATTAGATAGTGTTTTATTTGCTTCATTTCAACAGGGAGCCCTAATCATTTCTTGGCAACATTGAAGCGGGCAAAGACTGAGAAAGTGAATAGCTTACTTGTTTTTCAACTTAGAGAAAAAAAATTCTTTCAAAATAAAAATCTTCTTACTAAGTACTTCAGCGGTCCATTTTACAGCACTTGAAATGCATTTTGCGTTTGAATATATCAAATGCCCGTCTAGTTAGCACAAATTATTGTAACATTTCCAGAAATTGCTGGTTGGTAAGGAGGTGGTGTCTGGGTAATGTTGGATTACATGCACGAGCACATTATTTGCTACGTTAATGGAATTGTGCAAGGTACAAACTGAAGACGCATACGTCATGTTCAGTGTATGACTTCATATGCTAGAAGTCATTACTTGGGGAGGTTTTTGCACATTATATGAGAATGTCAGAATTCTGCATTTACAAGTGAGCAATGCAGCATTGTGTTGACATTTTGGCTGTAAATAACACTGTAAAGAATGTGGTGCTTTAATACTGTACACGGTGTTTTGGTCACCATGCTCTAAAAAGATGCTGCTGCTCTGGAATCAGGCTGAATTAACTGAAGCATTTTAGTCTGGACGTTTTAGGAAGACTAAGAGATTACTTCACCTAACTAATCTTAGGTGATTACTTCACCTAAGTAATCTTTTTGCTCTAAGTAAGCAAAAAGCACTGACTAAACCCTGTGGACTTTTTCAGAATATATAGCAAATCACAAACCAGGGGACACAAGACAAAACTAGAAGGAAATGCATTTAAAAATGAGAACACAAGGCACTTCTTTACAGAAGGGCTTGTGCAGGTCTGAAACAAGTTACCTAGCCATGTTATTGAAGCTTTTTCTAGAAATGACTGGATGAGATCTTTGATCATTTAGTTACTAGCAACCAAAATGTTTGGGTGGTCTGAATGGCCTCCTCTCATTAGTAACTTTTATTGTGTTTAAAAACAAAACTCCTCAAATTCTGTGTAACATCTGTTACTTCCAAACATCTGACCTGTGCATTATGTAGTATTTTGGTAAAGTATCTAAAATATCGTTAATACCAAAAGTACTAACAGTATATTAGGTTTTAAAAAATAGTGCATATAACTATTTGTGATATTTGATAATAGTCTCTGCAGAAGAAGAAAAGAGAAAGAGAAAACCCACACCCAAGTGCTGAGATGTTAAAATGTGATGACTTTGGATTTAGGGTTCAGTTACAGTTCTTCAGTTTCAGTGAAAAATCTTTGTGAAGTGAAGCATAATGGCATTTGACGATACAATTTATGGCTTCTTCTGTCACCTTTACTGTACCCTTACAATCTTAATCTTTCTCTCTTATCAGTGTCTGTACTGGTGAGGTAACTTTTCTGACAACTCTAATCTGTTGGCAGTAAATTCAAAGTAAATATATTTTTAATGGTGTAAATCCTGGACACCCTCTGCTTCCATTTCTGGCATTTCTTTGATTTTCCATTTGTTGTGCAGGAAAACGTCTGAAGGAGAAGACGTAATTACTGTGTTGGTGTTCTCTCCACAGGAGGTTGGATACTGTCAGGGAATGAGCCAGATCACAGCTCTGCTCCTCATCTATATGAATGAAGAGGATGCCTTCTGGGCCCTGGTTAAACTTCTGTCTGGACAGAAACATGCAATGCACGGTAAAGAGCTGCTCAACCTCATTTCGTAGATCCAGAGTCATTAAAGTGAACATTCCTGTGCTTTGATTTTATCAAGTTGGCTCTGGTAGCTTTAAAACTGCAGGAGGGCGGAGTCATTTTTAAATTTATAATTAAGTGACTGTTATCACGTGATATTTCTGGGTGCACATCAAAGTAAAACGTTAACTGTGGCTGACAAAGTGAATTAGAAAAATAATTGGGAATCTTGAATTTAAAAAGTGGTTTGATATTATAAGTGATATCCTGATTTTGTTATTTCAATAACAGCAAATGTTATCAAATTTAATTTGACAGTTTTCTTGTAAAATGCATGGGTGCGCTGTTCCCAGCTAAACTCGGAGATCAGTTTAAAGCAGGTACCAAATATCTATTTTTTAAAAACCCAGAATATGCAATAAGATTAAATGCACGAAGTTAACAGATACAATAGCCAAATACACGTCTGAAGTCTGCAGACAAACGAGATTCAAGTGAAAATATTAATGATTAACTCTTCTCAGAATTATCTCAAGATCAAAAGCAACATTCACACATTCAATTCTTCAATCAAGTTTAGATTAAATTTAGAATCAATGGGTAACATTTAAAAATCTAAATCTTGCAACTTGGTTTTGAAGTACAATAACCCACCACAAGATAGCAGCTGCGTGGGAGCTTGTGAACTATCAAGGAATGAGGCCCAATTTAGCACAGCTTATCTTCTTCCCTTTTTCCCTAAATAAAGGGATATGCAATGGAAATACTTATCCAATCACATATTTTCTGTTTTATATTTATATGTAATTTAGGAGGATCTGTAGAATTTTGTTTTCACTTTGACAGAAGGGTTTTCTATCAATCAATATCAAAAACTCCCCATTAAATACATTACAATTCCATATTAAAACACAATAAAATGTAAAACAAAAGGGAGGGTGAATACTTTTGATGACCAACATAGACATGCTGTAAAAGATGTCTTTATAAATATGGTCATACACTTAATGTATGTGTATAGAGCCTATATACATTTTACAGTATTCCTTATTCTGGTAGCTCTTTGAAACTGTCTGTATTTCTGGGTACTGTAAATAGATGTCTGACTGTATAGTAGATGACCATAAGATATAGATGGGTACAGATACATTTATAAACACATTTAACCTCTTCTTGATTGTGTTTGTATTTCGTATCAAATAGAAGATCACAAATTGCAAAAATACTAGATACTACAAGATGCTAATGTTTTTAGCCTTGGGCATTCAGTAAAACATCTTTCCTTGATAGATATTCAAGAATCCTTGAACTACAGTTTTCTATAGTGTTGCACATATAGTGGTGCTGCCCTCATACCATCTAATATCTCTCGATTTAATGGCAGGATGCTATGATCGAATTGAACACTAGTAACTGAAGTACCTACAAATGTTTGTTGTTTTTTTTACAAGATGTACAACTACTTCTCAATTTCAGGATTTTTTGTTCCTGGGTTTCCCAAGCTGATGAGGTTTCAAGAGCACCATGACCGCATATTGAAAAAGATGATGCCTAAACTGAAGCAACACTTGGTAAATCAGAAAGATCAGAGTTGTAGGGCTGATGTTCAGCAGAACACTGCTGTTTGCTGATTTTGTTTTTCTTCTTCTCTTTTTTTTAGTTTCTGTGTATAATGATTTACTTTTTACTTTGTATAGCCCAAATTGCTCCATTTCATCTTTGTTTTAATTTGACGACTCTATTTTTATGAAATAAAACCAAATTACTTCTACAGCAGGGCTTCCCATCCATAGCTGGTTGAGATGTCAGTGTTTGCGGACTCTTTTCAAATCAGTTCTCAGCGACTAAATAGAATCTGTGATTGATTTTCCAAATACCGTTTTTACACTTACTGATTTTACAGTCATAAATGCCAATGCTTCTGAGCATAGCCACACCTGAATTTTTTATCCCATCCTTTTAAAAAGTCAGTTGTGACAACATTAACAACATCAGTAAAAACAATACCTGTCAAGATCAAAAACATCAGAGTCAGCATTGACATTTCTCAGTATCCTCACCAGTCCATCCAGGGGCCAACACATTTGTCAGTAACTCAGTCTCTTTTATGACTGAAAACCATAAAAAGATCAAATTAAAATGAATGAGTTCAGTTGAGTTATAGGGAGTTAGAAGTCAGCAAACACTGGTGTTACAAGGATTTGGGCTGCCCTGTGAGAAGCTGATATATAAGCATGTAACTACTTGCAAATTTTAAACAATATAATAATCACTGATTGTTACAGTTTTTGGAGAGTTCTAAGAATTTACTGATTTTGACGTTGACTCAACAAGAAATGTCCTTTAAACCAGAAGGGCAAAAGGAACAGGATGATAATTAGAAGATATTTGAGCATTGGCGTGTCCTGTTACCCTCTTTTTAAACTTTAAAATTTCCTGTGTTGAAAATGGAACTGCTCGATTCCATGTGAGGTCTCTGTCGTGTTTTTCTTAGCGGACAGGGTCTTCTGAAGGGACACAGTAAAGGCCTTTTGGATTTTATTTTCGCAGGACTCCCAAGAAGTTTACACCAGCCTTTACACCATGAAGTGGTTCTTTCAGTGTTTCCTGGATAGAGTAGGTGCTTTATTTACCTTCCAATTCTTTATTGTCCTGAAGTATTTTTTTAAACAACCCGGAAAATGTTTTGTCTGTGGAACTACTAAATGACAAAGTAATTTAGAGTGCTTTTAATTAATGAAGCATGGGTGGCTGTGGGCCTTTATAGTCTTAACACTCATCATTTCATTTAAAATCATAATAAGAATGATTTTATATATGTGTGTATTGTCAACATACAGTATGTCTGTTTTTGTTCATGTAGTATTACCAGTTAAGACCGTATAGGCTTGGTTTGGACACTACTCTTTAAAGCAGACTGAGTGTGTCCTAACTGATAATGTGTTGCAATGGGGACCATGTACTGTTGAATTCTACAGTGGCTGTCTTATAGTAACTGTATACCCAAAGGGTTCAGATTTCAGACTAAGTATATACTGAACATAAAAAAAGATAGTTCAGGTGGGTAGCTGCGTCAGCATGCGTAGGCTGCAAAGGAACAAGTAATAGGTTTATTCCATGCTGAAAAAAAGAAGAAAGAGAACACAACGTTTCGGCCGTGGAGCCTTCTTCAGGTGTGCAGGTGTGAGAGAGACCGGGCAGTAGGCAAAGGTAAAGTAGCGGGAGAACAAAGGTTGAGAGGGAGGAGGAGTGAGAGGCGGGAGCAGGGGACAGAAAGAGAGGCCAATCAAGAGGTGTGAAGTCAGAATGGGTGCAGAGAGGTGTGAAATGAAACTTCCAATGAATGGAGAAAATTTAAAAGAACAGTAATCTGTCGTTAAGGGAAGGGAGAATGTGTGATCCTAGCTGCAGAATAATTTTAGTTTCGGTGGTCTTTCTGATGTATGAGTTCGGAAAACCGTCTTTGAGAACACAGACGGAGAGATTAGAGTGGTCGTGGCCGTCAGAGGTGAAATGAGAAACAATGGGCTTGGAGATCACCAGGATCAGCCTGGTGTGACAACATTAAAGCAGGGCAAAACACATCCTCACACATCTTTTGCGAAATGTGACTGTCATACTACTTGAGCCCAATTGAACATCTGAGGGATGAGCCTTCGATGACATGTAACAAATAGCGCTCGTAAATCAGTGAGCATACCCGTCAAGAAACTGGACAGAATCCCTCCAGATCGTATCTGCAACCTGGGCCAGGAGCCACACAAGCCACTAGCTTGTGACTTTCACAGTAGATCATCTCAACCCTGTTGATGACAAATTATAATCAGCAGAATGAATTGACCCATTTCTCCACTGTTCTGTAATTTTGTTTTTAACAAGTTTTAGAATTTATTGCAGCCGTGACTTGTTTTTTTGATGCGCAACATAACAAAACAAAGTGGAGAAGTAGAGATTCAGATCATGAAAACTGTTTATCGTGATTGAAATGTTGTTTTCCATCTCTGTCTTGCAGACTCCTTTTACTTTGACCCTAAGGATATGGGACATTTACATCCTAGAAGGAGAAAGGGTTCTTACAGCCATGTCTTACACTATCCTTAAACTCCACAAAAGTAAGACGATACCCCCTGGATTATTCTCAAATACAACACAACCCACTCCCTCCTTAAAAATTTTAGATACTTTGTATGCAGCTACTTTTTATATATCAGAATTTATATGTTCAATATTTTACTTTAATTTGATGTAATACTGATGTAATTTGATGTAATAGGTTTAGCACGCTACAACAGGTAACTTGTACATCAGACTGTAGCAGAAACTGAATTAATACAATGCTTTGGCTTCCCCAGAGCTTCGGTAACTGTCAGATTGCTTTTGTTTCAATGTATTAGTTAGATAGCACAACATTTACAGAGCTCAAAACAATACTATTCTGCTGCAGTCCATGTTCTTAAATGACCTGGCCTTGTGCAGCTCTTGAACAAGTATTCAGAAGAGAGCAATGATGCACGAGTGGCTTGTATCATTTGTTTGCAGATTGCTTCCTAAATCAACTGCACTATGTGCTCCCAATTTTTATTTTATCCATGAGACTCCGGAATATTACAGAGACTTCATAAAAGGCAAAGCTGCCTCATCTGATTAGATTTTGTTTGCTACCATGGAGTCATACAGCTCTTGTTTCATATAACTTTGTAATAAACTCTTTGGGTCTTTTTTCGCACTAAAGTGTCCTATTGCTTGATAAAGACATCATCAGGACCTGTTTACTACCGTATTTTTTCAGGCCCAGTTTAGATAAAATCTGTTGTCTTCTGCAAATGAATTTATAATGAAGGGAGGTTAAATTACTTACACACTAGTTTATTTCTGCTTATTGTTAAATGTCTACTTCAGATGTCCTTACTGTGTGAATATAGTAGGATTAATTGTAATTTGAAAAGGTATTTTTTGCAACATGAGAAGTTCCCTTTTGATTTCTAAATCAATCAATATTAATGTTAGTTTAATAGGAGTTTTGGGAGAGTTTTTTTGGCTCCAGTTCTTAATTTGACAATTAATCTGAATCCTTAAGTCTTCATTTGAGATTTACTGTATGTGGGAGACAGTGTGGTGTCAAGATTTAGAGATAGATTTGAGACTAGATGCAATACAACAGATGTTTTACATTTGGAAGTGACAATGTTGCGATATATATCAGGAACATTTACAAATAAACACCATTTTGTGTAAAAGACATCATTTTATGTGAATTTACAAATTAAATCAAGTTATTGCTATAGTCAACATTTCATTTATTTAGTGTTAAACAGCTACTCCTACAGCTGCTACGACTTGTTATTGCACATCTGACCTTTTTGTTACCACACAGTTTACTCTGCGCTTTTACTGTTAAATTTGAGTCACAGGGGGAAACGTCAGCCAAGTTAAGTAGACCTGTACCACAGAGGGCTTGCCGTGAATACATGTCCGTGTTTTCCATTGCAGAGCACTTGACAAAGCTGTCCATGGAGGAGCTGGTGGAGTTCCTGCAGGTGACTTTGTCTAAAGACTTCTTCTTCGAGGACGACTTTGTGATTGAGCAGCTGCAGAACTCAATGTCAGAGCTGAGACGGGCAAAGCTGGAATTGCCACCCCCTGGTAAAGTATATTTCCACTCCATTTATTTTTGTGTTTGTTTTGGGCGGGACGGCGACATTTTCAAAGCAGGAACACGCCCAGAGATTTGTTTACTTCTTGCCGAGAGAGATGCACCGGGCTTAACTTTTCATTTCATTAACATGCCGACGTTCAGTTTAACAAATGGAAAAAAAAATCCTGGCAGCATAGTCCAGACTAAGCATGCTTAGTTAGGGTTAGGGCCCTAAGAAGAAAAAACATTTTTATCACCCGCTAAAGGCCTGTTGTGCCAGTCTGGTTTGCGCGGTTCTGATCACAAATGTTTTCGTTGATCCAATAACCTCATCTGGCTCCTACCCTGGACTCCTTCGGGAATCACCTTCAACAGCTTTGTAGCTCCTTCCTGACTCCCACAACCCTTTGTGCAAAACGTGCCACCTGTTCCTGGTTTTAAATGTGCCTGGCCATAGTTTCCACTTGCGTCCTCTGGTTTGTGTCTAGCCTTAAGAGGATTTGAATGGGGTCAACTTGGACACCTCACTGTTCAAAACAAAAATGATTAATTTGCTCTGAGTTGTCCAGTCTGGGAATGCATCCTGTTGTACTTCTCTGTTTGCCGTTATTATTGGGTCCACTTTTTGTCTATAAAAGATATTTTGAAATGTACTTTTATAAATTCAAAGTGTTTTCCTGTCTTATGTTTATAGTTTGTTTCTTCTACCAGCATTTAAGACTGCACTTGTTTTCATTAAAGGTGAAAACATGTGCCAGGCGTTTGCCCTGTCTTGATTATGGAAACTCTTCTATTTTAGTTTCATCTGCAAACTTAGCAACTTTGTTGACTATACCAGACCCTAAATCATTGATAAGGTCCTGACACATTAGGTACTCTGCCTGCAACCCCCAATCACACTCCTTATCTGTACGCCTTACTTGTATCAATTAACCAGTTCCAAATCCAAAAACAACCCAGCCGTAAATCAGCTCCATAGATTTGAGAACAGAGTGACCAGTGTTACATGGTCTTGTGGGTCCCGGTCAAAATCTTAATTTGAGATTTATGTGGGAGACTGTGTAGTATCAGGATTTAGAGACTAGATGACATACAACAGATGTTTTAAATTTGGAAGTAACAATGTTGCGGTATATACCAGGAACATTGACAAATAAACACCATTTTGTGTAAAAGACGTCTTGGCACAACTGGGTTTTTGGGACTATGTGCACCTGGCACAATTTCCTGTTTTAACTAAGTATACCACTTGTGGCCCTACACATAAACAAACCCACTCCAAAAAGCTTATTGAATGCAATAATTGAATTATTGAGCGAAATTTTTCAGCAGCGAAAAATATATTAAGCTCATTCAACATTTGGCTTCTGTGATTTCAGGCACATTTGTACTTGGATCCAAATCAGATTTTCTCAGTTCTGTCTGCTGTCCACTAGGTGGCAATAACGTGCAAAATCACATCTTTGTTTCTCGAGAGGTTTTCAGTGGCAAGAGGCAGTTTCCTGGTTTATGTTGAACCAAGCTTTCCCATAGAACTGTGAATATCATAAGCCCTTTTCTAATATTCAGGTTGAGCAGATAGTTTTACCCTTTTGTATTTGAAAGTCCATGTGAGACATTTATTTCTACACATTGATTCCTAAAGAATGCTTCTAAAGGGGTTACCTATTGAGGGGAAAAAGTTGCATTTTGAGTTCATAGTCCGAGTATGATTTGAAGAATGAGCTGTAAAATGTATAGCAGTTAATGTAGTGAAGTATCTGCTTTTTTATATAGAAAAATTCAAATAGACCATATCTGAATAGAGGAGACATGTATACATATTAAAATAGGTGGCTGTGTAATCTCACTTACCAACCAATAAACATTAAAAGTTTTTTAAAAATCTCCTTATCCACTATTAGGAATTGGCTATTCTGTCATTAACCTCTCTGCTTTATTTTTATTTTCTTCCTCTCTTGATTCATTGCTAGCCTGCAAAAGTCTTAAACAGCCTGGAACTCACATCCCCCCGTACAACAATGGCTGGTGGGCAAAACTGTTACATGTTGTCATTTCTGTTTCAGTCTGCATTGTTCCCAACTTGAAGTTCCATACCATATGTCCAGTTATTCAGTTGTCAGTTTTCATCCCTTCAAACATAAGGGCACGAGGTCTTATGCAGAACAAAAAAAAATAAAATGTTAACAACAGTTATCTTCCTGTAAGTGGTTCAGCTGATGAGCTAAAGCCACAATTACACATTCAGGGTACAAACTGAGTGATCTGAAATTGTCTGAATTACTGCTGTCATTAACCATAATTACAATACATCATTTTTTATTCCTCTTGGATTCTACACATTTTAAATTTGATGAGCCTCATACAGAAAAACATTAGCCAGATTTCATATCATTAGCATGCTTCTAGAGACACTTTTGATCTTCATGCTTTTTGAGCAGATGTATTGAACCACATCACTTTGAATCGTGAGAAGCACTGTGTTCAAGTCATTCAGTGTTAAAACAAAGCATTTCACTCTGTTTTGCACACACTGGGTCTTTTTTTCCACAGGAATGTTAAAATAAGTTTTTATGTGAAATGAGAAGCTTTTGTTTAAACTGCTAAACTTGTAAACTGCTAAATTATAGTTTCCAAAGAGGATGTTTTAAAAAAATGTAGCCATTGTGATGGAAATTTCGGTGTCCTCAAAATTGTGGTGCTTTATTTTGAAACAATTGTTTTAATAATTTGAGGAAGCGCCTTGAAATCTTGAACAGTAGCATCAAAAAGGATTATGTACGGTTTAAGGACAGGCTTACAAAGATTTTGTGACATTTCTGCTCCTTTTTAGAGTAAGAAATTAACTTCTGTTGGCTGTGCAATTTGTGAAAAAGTTGTATGCACGATCTTAATTCTGTTTCGTGTCATTTCAAATTATTTTAAGAAATTGAGTTTTACATCTAGCTATCTGCCATGCCAAGTGGTCATTAGGGATTTTAGTCTTTTCTAGTTTTTGTCCTGTGCACCTTCTCTTCTTTCCCCTACAGTACCTGATTATGTTGAGAATTGTGTTTAAAATGAATTAGACCAATTTGAAAAAAAAAATTATCTAATGAAGAAGTGATGATTTGTATGTTCTGTAAATTTTTCCCACCTGTGACTTCACATAAGCATGTAAATTTCCAATCGGAAAGTTCTGTCAGATCTTGTATCCTGTTGATATCACATTTTAGTGCTTGTGTAACTAATTTAAAGACATGTAGTAAGTGGTTATGGATAAGCCTGGCTAATTGGAAGAACCTCATCTAGACAATGCTTGAAAGAAACCAGGGTATTAACTTCAACAACCTGTGTAACTTGTTCCATACTCCCACAATCCTTTGCAGAAAGACTTTCTTCCTGTTCTCACTTCTAAATGCACTTCTCCATAGTTTCCACCTTTTTCACCTTTTTTGTTTTTTAAAGCCATCTGTTTCCTGAACTATGTTATTGTATTTTGTGTTTTGAGCATTCCACTTTTATTCATTCATTTTACCTAAGAAACAAAATAATAAGCTTTATTTTAAGCAGGTAATGCACTCTTCCATGCTGTGTACTTTGTTGAGTGAGTGGTGAGACAGAGTAAGCAGTATTTTTAATCCCTTTATATGAAACTGTTAATCGGTTTCTAATTAAAATGTATGGCTTGTTTTACTTTTTGAAGTTAGACTTGATTCATTCCAGTCATAATGAACCTTCATTTGGAAATGAAAAAATGAAAACAAATGTACAAATTTACAAGTGATTATTGTACAATAGAACATAACATATTATGTTTCTTCTGTAAGAACCAAAATCTTCTGATCCAACCAGGAGAAATCACAGGTTCTGTGTTTGAAGTCTTTGTGGCAGTTGGCCATGATAAAAGTCAGATTTAATTATACATTTTGGTGATATCGGAATGTAGCTTCTTTGTCAGCTTCGTTATGATTTTATGCTTTATCCCACAGATACAATTAAAACAATTGGGTTTGTAATATCATAATGTATATGTGTTTTTCTAAATATCTGTGGTGAAAACCCACAGAGTTCAACTGAACCCCCTATTACATTACATTTTTATCTCTTAGGTAAAGAGGATGAATTTCCAAAGAAGACGCTTGGGCAGCTGCCACCCGAACCGCAGCCAGTCATTTCCAATCACGTGGTCAACGGACAGAGCAACAGCACTCATCTGGAGGGGCACACCTCCAACAGCAAGGTCTCGAGTGCCTCGCCTGAGAGGGCCAGGGAGAGGCAAGCCAGCAGCAGGGCACGGAGAGACTCTTTTGAGAGATCCTCGAAGCAGCACAAGGCAGACCGACGGGATGCGCGGTCACATCGTCCATCAGAAGCGGAGCTACGAAAACAGGGCATCGTACTGCCGCCCAAGACCGTGGCTCAGGACCACTCGAGACTCAACAACGCTACTGCTAACCATAACTCTAATGCCACTTCGAGCACGAGGAAAGACTTTGCTCCGAGGTGGAATAAACCCTCCGAAATAAAACTTTCAGAGTCGGCTGCAAAGTCTGTCCCCGATGGGAGAGGCAGGGCCGCCAATTACGGTGGTGCCAGCTCTCCGTCTAGCCCCGACGAGTTGTTCTTTGTGCGGCCAAAGCCTAGAAGTTTAATCGTTGACGAGACCAAAAGGGGATCCAACGCATCGCAGTATGACAACGTCCCGAGCTCCGAGCACGACTTCGAGAACCACGCTGAGGAGCTGCTGGAACGGCCCAAATCTCGAAGTCCTCGGAACGAGTCTTTCGGCAGTCAGTCACCGAATTCGGCTAGTCCCACGAAAATGTTGAGCGGCATTGGTGCAAGTGGACCACAGAGAGCTCAGAAGCACACTTTGACGTTTGAAAGTCAAGACCAAAGATCCGCAGGTAAAGCCCCTCCTCTGTCTTACTCCAACCCCCCTACATATCATGGGAACTCGCAGCAGTATTCCCCCGGCCGACCTGGACAGGCTCCTCCGCCCTACCAGCCGCAGTACAACAGCATTGTGGATGTCAAGCCTGACGATAAGCAGTATGGTTTAATGCCACATGTACCCATTGGCCTGCCTCCTGAAAAGACATACATGAATTCTTACGCTGCCTACAACAGGCAGTTTTCCAGCTCTTCCCAGCCTAACCGAATTGTCGTTATGCCTGCAGAGAGCAGCGCACAGTACGATTCTGTTAATTCCAGCAACTGTCCGAGACAGCCGACCAAGCTCCTAGGAAGACAGGTGTATCCATCTGTTGACTATGTGCAAGACGGCAGAAGACGCCCAGACCAGACACCCCTTTACAGACAGGAGAGCCAGGGGCGGCAGTGGCACCCGAGCCCGGAGGCTGATGCCCGTTACATGGCGAGCATGCCAAGGTCCCCAAGTTTCCAAAGGGCACAGATGTCCCCGGTTGACGACTTCAGCTATTCGGCAGTGCCTGTGGATGGGTCCCTCCATTACAGAACTTCCTATCCAGAACCACAGGCTCCAACAAGACAGCAGCATCCAGCCGCCTTTAGTGGACAACACTACAGACACCCTGCTGATGGGTACACCATGCAAGAGTCAATGCTGCTATGAACAGTCCCTCGCCCCAGCTTGGGCAGAAAGCAAAGGCAAACAGTAATCATGGCGTTTTTGTTTTGTTTACACGTAACAAGTCATTACTACTGCATGGTTCAGCACCAGCTTCTAGTGTTATTCAGCTTCCTTAGTAAATTTCCTGGACTTTTTTTTTAAGTTTACCACAGAATTATTCATTGATGTATATATTTTTTTTCAAATCTAAATCGAATTTCACTGGTGCATTGAGATATCTAAAATTAAGAATTTCATGTCAGAAACTTTACTGTTTTTTTTAAATTCTAAAAAACTCAGCGACAACTTGTTTTCATTTTGTGTTTTTGAAAGCCTTTATTTTTTTACTGAGCTACATAACGTTGTCTTCTTTGAAAGGTCAATTTTGTATGCTTGTGAACATATTTTGTTTTCCATATGAGCTCTTTGGAATGAAAAAGCAAACTATAAGCACAGAGCTATAAGAAGTTCACTTTAAAGACTCAGAATCATTGTGTTTTGTTGTGTTTGTTTTAACTGGTTATGAAGTCCTTTGAGGGAACGCTGTAACATGATAGTATTGGAAAAAATGTGGTAGTATTTAATTTAATTTTATTGTGTAAGAACATAAGAAACATTACAAAAGAGAGTAGGCTATTTGGTTCATCCATTAGTAGCCAGTTGACCCGAAGATTTCATCCAGTCGTTTCTTGAAAGAAGCCAGGTTATCAGCTTCAACAACATGGCTGTTATACCTGAAGTGCGTTTTAACTTTTGTTGCAAATGTGGGCATTTTGTAAAAATGAGATGTAAAATAGCCTGCTGCATTTTCAACACTGAATCGGCATTCTTTCACTAATGTTTATGTAGTAAGCGTAGTTTGTAATTTTTTTAAATGAAAGCTACTCTTGATAATTTACAGCAAATATAGTATCTGCTGTAGTTTGCTGCTGTTTACTGATTTCATGGATTGTTTATTGTTTGCCTTTTCTTTTAATTATGGCAATTGTCTCGAAAGAGAAACTGAAACATGAAAAAATTAAATTTTATATTTAAGCACTACATATGGGAAAAACTACATTGCACCCTATGTATCCTTGCCATGTTTATTTTCTCAACACAGCTGATGTTTTTAGAGAACCTTTAAGAAATTTATTTCTCAGCAGTTGTAAAATACAATAATTCTTGTTCAACTTTTTTTTTTTTACTAATGGGGTATATCAGAAAGCAGGGAATGTAATTGCAAGGATTTCCATGATAGCTTTAGTCTCTAAGAAGGTGCCTCTAACCTGATGATATGGTACAAGAAATAATATGTTCTTTTTATAAAAGGGATATTTCACTAACAGCTTACATCAGTTCCTTTTTTCAAAGTCCTTATTTATGTGTAAAGGGCAAATGTATTGCAGTGTTCAATTTCAGTATCATATGTCATCGTGTAGTTATAGTATGTTGTAACTCATACCTAAGAATGGAGATCGTGTGACTGTATAATGCAAACAATTGAACATGAGGTGACCCAAAATATTCCTCAACTACTTCAAGTCTCCTAATAAAACATATCTTTCTGGGGCAGTAAAAATGTTGATTGGAAAAATAGTTTTACAGTGTTTCAGTAATTTACACCTTAAAGGTAAAAAATAATGTTTTACTAGAGGCTGCTAACAAATTAAGTCCATGCTCACCAGTGGAAGAAAAAAAATGTAGATTTTATATACTGTATAATATACACTATTTTTATATATTATACAAAATGGTTTATAGTACTATGTATTCTATTGTACGTGATTTTATCCTTTTAAAACTTTGCAGGAATATTAGGAATATCTTGTATTACATGTCTTTATTTCAAATAATTGTTTTGCATTTTGAAATGGTCTGTTATTTACACTAAATAATAATTAATTTCTTGGAAGTCTAAAAATCTGTTATGACTGCCAATGACGTTTCTATACTGTTAATTTAAATCTACTGTACGCATACAAAGAATATGATTTTTTAATTTATTTTATCCGCACAGACCCATCAAAAATTAGTGATTAAGTCTTAGGTTTTTGGGTGGATCATCATGCTTACCTTATTCCTTACAAATCAGATTAAGCACTGCAGCAAATCTTTGGGTTACTGAACAGATAACCTTTTCCACTTGAAATACTTTGTACAGTATGTGTGATGAAGATTTGATTATGTTTATTCTGAAGCAAGCTAAAACAAGCTAATCATCTCTTTCAAGTAAAGTTCAAATCAACGTGTAACATGGCAATAAAGTGAGCCCCAATCCTGGATAGTGCTTTTGGACAAGTTCAGGACACCTCACACAGCAGGTCTCGAGAAAACACGGTGCACAGAACGAGTCAGGAAGAGACTGCTTGGAATATTCCGTTGGAATAAGGAAATACAGAACTGTCACCTAATCAATAAACAGCCTTTACTGTAAGTGTCTTGTCAAATGTTTTATGTTTGTAAACATTTCGTAAGAGCTCAGAATTCCATTTTATGAATGCCCACAGCCAATCCAATCTTGCACACTAATATTTCTACAGGAAAAAACAGGACTTATTGCTTCTGGCTCAAAGCGTACTGTATTTTATCTACTGATCATGTCTAGGTACTAAATGGAAAAACATTAAACCAAAAAAACTTTCAAAATATAAGTTTTATAAAAATACAACAAAAATAAAGATCTCTGCACAGGTTCAGTTGTTCACATTCTACACACTTAGATGTGGACAGGTAGGCAGCCCAGAAATTGTTTTAGCATTCATGCTAATTAATAACGCCATGTTATTAATTCTAATTAACTGAAAAATGGGAACAGGGCTGAAAACAGCTGCTGTATGAGACAAAGCTTTGTCCGCCTCTCAATCTGGGTTTTTTTTTAATTAACCCCCCAGCTGTTTCTTTAAACTCCCTAAAATCATTCTTAAATCAGAACTTGTTTCCAGTAAGCACACAACACTTCTTTTAATCTTTCCCAGACTTTTTATAACAGTTTATTGGAAACTGTATACATACAAATATTTTCAGTACTTATTTTCAAATTGTGCACATAATGCACACAAAATGGACATAGAAATAGAAAAAATAGAAAAGGCTAAATACATGAAAAACATAAAACTACAAAAATACAGCATGACATATTAGGGACAATATAACCAGAAATTTCACATTATGTAATCTGCTTTGCCTATTCTTATAAATGTAAAAGTTTAACAATTATAACTGCCAAATTATTAGGGAGGCTAGTCAAGAAATGCTGCCATGTTCTCAGAAATAAGTAAAAAATATATACCTATTTGTCAAATAGGTTGTTGTCATTTGTGAAAAAAAACATGGATTACTATCTAATCTACATTTCAGTATTTGTTACAGATGTTAGTTGTCAAGTCTGAAATAAGTTTACATCTTTTCTAAAGTAGAAGGTAGGTGAAGTTTTTTAGCACTTTAAGGCTAATAATGCAATTTTATTTATACTGAATAATAATAAACATACAATATTCATGACAAAAATGAATGAGGAAAAAAACATAGCAGCTTCATCCAGTAAAACCAGGACACAGAGATACTCCAATGAGCATGAGAACCTTAAATACCACTCTGATTTTAACAGAAGGTTAGTGTCTGATGCAGAGTGCTTTCAGCAAGTGAGTCACATAATTATGGACATGCAGTACTGCACTGAAGCCTGCTGTCCTATAAAATACCCCTGTAAATTCCTACAGTAGTAGACTCTTCATTAATTAAAGGCTTCTGCCAATATTTCAGCATCAGATAGGCAGAGCAAAGGTTTTTGTCAAGCAATGTTACGTAGGTAGAAGAAAGATACCCTTGTGACCTTAGTAATATGCACTTTAAATGAAAATGCAGGGTCAAAATACCAACATTTCTCTACATCTATGGTTTGATTTTGCTATTTTTGGCTACACTGAAGTTGTGTTTTGAACATCAAAATCTGAATCTTAAGTGGAAAAGGAATATATCAGTGTGAAAAGCTCTAGGAACTGCAGTAGTGCCCTTAAATGATATAATTCTGCCAAGCATCAAAATTTTCTCTTGGTGTTTTCAGTTCCAAGCTGACTAAGTTTTATGCAGAGTTTCACATGGCTCAAAATTCTTTCCCTGTGGTATGTAATACATACAGGTTTGTCTTGGTCAAATTCTAAAAGATCTGAATTAACATTTTTAATACAAATTATGTTCAGTACACATCAATGTCCATACTAAACCTGAAATGGAGCTGTTAGCTGTTTCAGTACTGTCATTTAACATTTGCCTGACAAAAAAAGGATTACATCGTCATGTCATTGGTTTTCTCCAATTAGTTATGTAAAACCAATGTTGTAACTGTCAGTTGATAGCACTGTACTTTGATCGTCTATTGACTTTTAAACTGAACTAGGAATGTTGACGATAGCCTGGTGCTGACCATTGTCCCTTAGATAATGATACCTCAATAGCCACTTCCCAATCAAAAATTGTAACTATTTGTTCAGAATTCAGCAGCTAGAACCCAGACTACGTCATGCACAGTAGATCATATCACTCCTGTCTTGGGGTCCTTGAATTGTCAACTCAAAACCTGACAGGCAGCCTTTAAATGTCTTCACCTTACATTCATTGCTGACTGATTTGTTATGTTTACTTTACTCCTGCATCCTCCTTAGTTGTTCACTTAGCTGACTCTAGTTTATTTAGTTCATAGTTTATTATCTGTCCCCAGTGTTCATCTGCACTCTATGGGTGACAGGGCCTTTTTCTTGTTATGCCCCAGTAAAACACAATCCTCACCAGAAAATTCAGGGACTCATTCACAGTAGATGCCTTGGAGTCTAGCCCAAGAAACTTTTTCATCAAGCTTTTATGTGACTGTTTTATTTTTTATATCTACTTTGGCTTTGTAGTTTTTTTTATTACATTTTCTTTAATGTGCTTTTTTAGGAAGCAATATATTTGAGATGATTGCTTTCAAAGGTGCTGCATAAAATAAAGTTCATTATTTTATTAAGTTAGCTCTTTACAGTGGATTGTGATCTCATGGATGACATCACCAATGTGTCACAATGAATGTCTGCTGTGAAACAGTTACATGCTGTTATTCTAGAATTTTCAGTTGTACAGTTTCTTCATAGTCAAAACCAAAAACCTGTTAGCACCAGCAAGTACTGTTTTCATTAACCTCTGTAGATAAGCTGATCATTTCTGAATAAAATCGCCTATAAATTTGGAATAATGCAGTCTAATGCCCAAGGAACATTTGAGGTAGCTATTGAATGGATTCACGCACATCTACTCCTTTATGCTTCAAGCATGGCGCTTGGAGTCCGTTTGTGTTGCTGTGGTCTCTTGCTTTAACCAGCGTAGGCAGAATCTACCAGCCAACTCAAGAGCAACCTGCTGCTGAGCTGGAACCTGCAAGGTAAGATATCCTCCCATTCTCCTGTTGCTCTCTGAAAACAATGTGTAGGGTTAAAAAAACAGAGCTTGGTGTCACAAAGTCACCTATGGATGCCTCTTTTTCTGTTGATCTGGTTTTAAAAACATGTAAATCTAAATTAATTTACTAAATATTTTTCCTAAAATAACTTTAATGTTTGTTTTTTCTGTTTTCTTTTTAGGCCAAACAGCAGTACATTTTGAATATCTAAAATGTTCTTCACATAATATTTTTTTCATTTACAGAAACAGAAGTTTGTTTATAACCCTCCCAACATTAAGAACCTGAAAAACAGAGCTGTGCCACTTCCAGATTAGAAAAGAACATTTCTGTATTTTCACATTCTCCTGAAATTCCTTATGTATGTATTCCTTTGTACTCAAATAGTTTTTCATCCTATTTTCTTTAAGAAGGATGTAGATTTATTATTTTTATATCATTTTACTGGTAAGTTATTATTGTTATTTTACAAAATGTACTGTTATTTTACAAAAAAAGTAGTTATTGGAAGTAAGAAAAGACTACAGCAGAATTAAAAGATTGAAAGGTCACAGTTTTACACTTAAAGAGATCATTTGAGTTTACAAACATCATCTGTAGCGCTTTATGATTTATAGTCAGTTATTCACCTTTCAAATAAGAATATATTTTTCTGTATAAAATTATGTGTGTGTGCCTTTTATCTAATATGTTTTCTGGAGAACGTGAAGGAAACCCATGTGAACATGGTATGAACACACAAACATCACTTAAATAAGCTTTGGCTCCCTCACAAATCTTTATTGCATAAAGTGGTCGGAAAATGGAGTTATACAGTACATGAAAGTTGTCGTCTGCATCTGTGTGTATATGCCACCAGTTAGAAGATAAACCTGCTCAGCTATTACTTTACAGAATGCTTTCCCTCTTGTGTTTTAAGCAGGGCATGTTCCGTTTCAATGACTTTCACTGACCCAGAGACATAGCCGAAAACACCAGCGTAGAACGGAAATGGAAGAATCAAAGAAAGAACAAGTGAAAACTGATCACTTAGATTAGAGACGAGTCTCGACTTTTCTCTAGGGAAGAGGTACAGTCAAGGCTGGTTTTAAAAATCTTGCTCGTAAAGGTAAGTGATGAATTAATTGCACACAGGTGGGATCAATCTCCTGTCAGATGACATCGCCATGATAACGGGCTGATTGGCAGATTGAGTAAAGACTTGACCGGTTGCCAAGGTATTTTGGGTTTACTATATCCCTCCCTCAAGGAGAGACTTCTGGATGCTGAACAGGGTACGCCAGGGAACCAGGAATGAAATGAGCACACCAGACAGGGGGCATGAAAGTCTCTTGCAGGAACCCAAGGCTTCTCCTATGGACATGGCCCCTCCAAGATGACAGCTGACGGATTTCAACAGGGAGACGTGTAAGTCCGGGGAGTCACCGTCCGAGATGACAAGTAAGAGCCAACTGGTAGGTGTAACGACGTGGCTTGCTGTTGGGGACAGCTCCATCTTGCCGACATGCTGGAGAATCCAAATTCAGCAACTCGGTGAGGACACAGTCAGAGTAAAGCATTGGTGTTGGGTTGCTGAAGAGACGTAGAGAACAGAGATTTGTGAAGCACAATGAATACAGATAGAGATTGTTGAAGATGTAGACTGGAAGGTTCAGACAGGACTGGAAGGCAAGCGCAGCTTTCAGGGCAGTTGTAGACAGGGGGGCTGCGCCGCTGTATGGGATGACTGATAGGGAACGGTTTTCAAGGAAACCAGGGGCCGTGACTTCTGGCTCACCCGGGTACAACATTCACCTTCTCTTAATGGGTGCTCTCCAGGCTGGGGTATCAGATGTGGTAGGTGTGGAGTTCCTGAGCTGGCACCCATGACGATTCCTCTGGTCCACAGCCTCTCCAAAGCTCCAAGCATTGGAGGCTGATCTGTACCCATCAGATGTCCACGATACGGTATGGCCTGGGTTCTTGGGTGCCTTTAATTCAAAGTGATGATGGTACAGATGGCGTGATGGTTGCCAGTGCAGGTTTCAGAAGTAAAATGTGGAACGTTGATGAGATTTGCCTTCCCAATGAATGCAGGAGGGCAAGCCAGTAGGTGATGGTATTCACATGTTCCAACATGTGTTGGATTGTTTGAATGGGCCAATGAAGTAGAGGAGCAAGTTCCATGATGACAGGCAGAGACAGAAGTCTGATTAATAGCCACACACTTTGTTCCAGGCCTCAGGGGTGGAATGGCCCTCCAGCAATAGTTGGCCATTCTTTCCTGCTGCTGTGTGGTCTTTTAGATGTTGGCTCTTACAACCCACCACATGTGGCATTGCAGTTGTGCCTCCAGATCTTTGTTCACTCATTTTGTTTGGCCATTCGTTTTGGAGTGATCATTTAATGCAGCTGGTGATCTGTCAGAACTCAAGCGCAAGAGACCGGAAAGTGAAAAGTGAAAGGTGAAAATTATATAATTGATTATGGGCCAGCGGGGCTTAATAAACCCAATCCAGTCGGTAATAGGGGGGAATGATGATCCCAGGAGAAGCCCAGCCAACTGCATCCCTGGCAAAAAGAGGCTGCTTAACACAGCACAGCTGCTAAAAACAGGGAGTCTTGGGTATGGAAGAAACCAAATAGTGAGACCCTTGAAAAAGGAACTGAATGGGCTTAGAAGGGCACCCCTCAGGAATGCCAAGGGTGCAGGTCAGCAAACCCCTGTCGACGCAGTGACCAGTGAAAAGAATAAAGGTGGAATGAAGTGCTGCCTAGATTCTGAGTCTGTTGCATCAGGCTAGGCTGGAGTGCAAGGCAACGCTGAGAGCTGAGGCTGCTGGGCAAAGTAAATTAATGAAACCGAAAAAGCTGCAAAAACTGGTTACCGGTCAGAAAACAGGGAGTCTCGTGTACGGGAGAGACCAAATGGTGAGCCTCCTTGGAACGTAGGCAGAAGGTTTTGAAGGACAGACTTGAGGTTGCTGAGACTGCTACGCAGAGCGAAGGCTGGCTGGAGGCCACAGAAACTGCTGTGCAGAGTGAAGGCTGGCTGGAGGCCTGTGAGACTGCTGAGCAGAGCAAGGGCTACACTTGCTCTGGGTATTTCCAAGGGTACACTCGCCAACACTAAAGCGGAGGCTGGTGTGCTTGACGAAGCATGAGCTGAAAACTGCTGCACAGATTAAAGAGCTGGCTTAAAGCCAAACTGCTGAGCAGAGCTACAGTAAGTGCTATCTTGAAGCTGAATTTTCTGCCAAACAGTCCGCCAGTCAGAAACCTCGAGTACAGAAGAAACCAAATATAGAGCCACCTCAAAAAGGGGACCAAATGGGTAACACGGCAGTCTTGAGGCTGCAACTTCTGCACAGAATAGAGGGTGTCGAGCTCAGCAGAGAAATGTGGAGAGTGAATACCATAGTGTTAGTGAAAACCCAGGGTAAGTGAAAAAATGACAGAGTACCATCAAAGTGGCACCTCAGCTTTAAATAGGAAAGCAAGATTAGAATATTAAGCTAATTAACATAGATCACAAAAAGGTGTCAGAGTAGAAACCCTGGAAAACTGTGAGCCCTCGTGAGAATGTCATGGTTTCCCAAGGCACCACTAGCTGAAGGATGCCGTCATGCCAGATCTGTTTCAGGATTTACAGGCTGATATGTATCCCTAGTCGACAACAGAAGGCCCACTCACATCAGGAGACAAACTGAGGACTTTGGTTGGAGATCACGGAGGTCAGTAATGCATGGAGCCAAAACACCTCCTTAATGAAGATTCCCACCATCCATGGAGGTTAGACATTAACTGAGGGGGTGGGATGAAGTGTGGAACATCGGAGAAACGGTTGATGACGGTATGACAGAATGGCCTTGAGAATTGGGAAGATCAGATGGATTGCCATGGATGTCCTGGAACTGACAGCGAAAGTAATAAGCCATGCTCAGGTACAGGTTGAACATTTCACCATATATGCCACCACATCTGCCCTTGTGGAAGGCCACCAGAAGCAGTAGTGGATCAGTTCTGGGGAGCGCTGCCTTCCAGGATACCCTACCAGCCTGGTTGAATGGCTCCACTGCAACACCTCTGGCCTGGGCTGTTAGGGCTCAAACAAAGCCCAGCGGAGGTTCTGAAGGAGCAGGGTAGAGGCCAGTGCTGCCGACACTGCTTCTTCCATATCGAGCAACTTGGCCCCTAGGATCTGGTGTACCGAGATGACTGAGACTGGTCATAAGGCAGTCCTGCCTGGAGCACAGATCCTTGACAAGGCATTGGCTTTGCCATTCTTCATTCCCAGCTGATAGATCATGGTGAAATTAAAGTGAGAGAAGAACAAAGCCCAGCGTGTTTGTCGTGGGTTCAGTCATTTGACTTCTTGATGTACTCCAGGTTTTTGTGATCTATAAAGACCAAGAAGCGATGCAAGCCTCCCTCAAGAAGATGCTCTAGAAGAGGTCAAGGAGAGAGCGTTCTTGATCACTAGCATCTCCTGGTCACCCACTTTGTAATTATGCTCTGCCAGAGACTTTCTGGGAAAAGAAGGTGCATGGGTGGTCACCCAAAGTGCTGTGACAGGACTACGCCCTCTCCCACGTCCAAGACATGCACTTGCCAATTGATTGGCAATGTGCAGTCCGGGTGTTGAAGGATCAGGGCCGTGGTTAAGCAGTGCTTCTGTTACATGAAGGCCTCCTGCACCTCGGGCGACCACTTGCCCTGGCCGGCCCCCTTCCTGGTAGAGTGGTGATAGTGGCTACAGCCATGCTGAAACTGCGGGTAAAGAGGCCGTATTAATAGGTGAACTCTACAGAGCACTGGACATGTTTGAGGGTGGTGATAGTGGGCCAGTTCTTTACCACCACAACCTTGTCAGGAGGAGAGGATGTATCCAAGGAAGGCCACCTCGGACCGGTGGAACTCACACTTTTCAAGTTTGGCATAGAGGTGGTGTTCTCTGAAATGCTGAAGAACCTGCCTGATGTATTCCTGGAGGTTGCTGGAGCAGATGAGTATTTTGTCTAAGATGACTACCAAAACGTTGTCTGCGAAGTCCCAGAAGACGTTAGTTCCTGAAAATCTAGAAGATGGCTGGGGCATTACAAAGACCAAAGGGCATGATCAGGTATTCATAAAGTCCTGAGCTTGTGTTCAATGCCATCTTCCAATGTTATTTCCTTTGCAAAGATATCCATCATCTGATGAACGGAAGGCAGTTTAGGCAGAGAAAGAAAATGGGAAGACTTAAAGAACTGGTCGACCATAACCAAAATAACTGAACAACCTCGAGAGCAGGGAATGCCAGTGGTAAAATCCATAGGTATAGAGTCCCACAGGCATTCAGGTGTAGGTAAGGGTTGCAGATGATGGGTGGAGGATATATAGCACAGAGCATGCTGCTAAATAATGTTGCTCCTCATGTTGGACCACCAGTAGTATCTGTGTATGAGTTCTATGGGCAGTTGCAAGGCTGGATGGCCTGCCAGCCAAGAATTCTGACCCTTCTGCAGCACTTCCTATCTAGCAAAATGGGGGACAAAACTGGGGTGTCAAGGGGAAAAGGACTGGAGGCCGATGCTGCCCTCACTGCCTCTTTCACTGCTCCAGATGGGCTCTGGGACCACCTCAGACTCATCTGGAGCATGGATCCTGGAGAGATTGTGTTGGACATGCATTCTTACACCCAGGTATATGGGAGATGGTGAAATCAAAGCAAGACATCCCTCAGGAGAAGCACCAGGAGTGAAAAACCCTGGATTCCCAGGAGCCATCTGAACCGGACTGACAGTAATATCTACTGACCTCCCCTCTCAGCCTATGGAATGCTCTAGTTAGCACATCTGCAGGCAGAGCTTCCAGACGGAGCCTTAAGGAACTGGAAACCAGGAGCTAGAAGAGGCTTCGCTGAGACAGAGTTAAGTGGCTCAGGAGTGCAATAAGAATGTCACTGCTGGATCGCCAAGAAGAGTCTGAACCAGGTTTAAACACCCTTACAGCACCTGCTGCAGTGAAAGCTCTCACTCAAGCCAGGTGCTCTGCATCAGCTGTCCCCATGGCGTTCAGGACAGAACGAAGACGTGGCTGCCAGTCTCTGAAACTACACGCCCCTCTTGAGACAGTGAGAATGGGCGTTGGCGTGTCCCGCTTTGGAGAGGCGGGGTGAGCGTAACACAGTTTGCAGGAGTTTTCAGTTCTCTAAAAATACATTTTGCTTGGTTTTCGATTCTCCACGATGATCAGGACAAAGCACAAATTTGGCCTCCCTACTAGCCTTATGATTGTTTTATCGATCTTTTGACAGAGGTCATCTCTTTTTTCTTTCTCTCCAGTGAAATGAAGGAATTCATAGAGGAGGATCTCCAGAAGGGATTCATCGGACCATCCTCATCTAAAGCTTGTGCTGACTTCTTTTTCATCCAAAAGAAAGATGGAATACTGCATCCTAGCATGGGCTGAATATCATCACTGTCAATATCATCACTGTCACTGTCAATGACAGCTACCCTCTTACAGTTACCACTGATCTTTTCCCTGTTAGAAAAGATGAGTCAGGTTACAGTTCTCTCCAAATTGACCTAAGGGGGCCCAAAAACTGGGAAAAAATAAGGAAAAAGAAAAAAGGAAAAAAACCCTCAAAAACAACCCCGGAAAACAAAAAACTCTCGGCAAGCCTTTGGAACCCGGGAAAAGCCCCGAAGTTTCAAAAAACTGGGGAAACAAAAGCCTTCAAAATTCAACCTTCAAAAACCGGGCAAAGAGTTTTTGGAAAAGGTCAAGGGTGCCCAAAACCAAGAAAACCCGAAAATTTCCGGCCCCTTCAAAAAACAATTCCCGCAAGGCAAGCAAGGTCCCCCGGGAACCCGCCAACAACAATTTGAATGAAAAACTAGACAAATGAAAATTTTGAGTACCTGAGGTCACCGTTCCGGTATAGTGTATTTCTCCTGAAGGTCTCCAAATGGATCTCCAGAAAGGGTTGGTGGTTTGAGACTGTTGCACACTCTCTACACTGAAGCATATCAGTGGGATCCACAAATTACAAGCACTGATTTATCTGCAACTTCAACTCAGGAGGATGGCTCCTATTACTGCTCTCACCAAGAAGGGACCTGACCAGGGCAAGTGGACTTCCAAGGTTCAGAGGGCTTTTGAAGAGCTGAAGTGTTACTTCACTATGGCACTTCTGTTAAAATATGACTACCCTGTTTTGCCATTTAAGCTGAAGGTGGATGCATCTAATATAGAGGCTGGGGATGTCACAAAGTCTTCACCTGTGATAATTCAGCCAAGAATCTCTTGGTGGTGGAGAAAAATGATGATGTGGGCATTCAGAAGGCACTTGCTGTGAAGCTGACCTTGGAACAGTCTCTGGTGAACAGCTTGCCACTGGGCTTGTGCTGTGTTCAAGGTGCAGCTGGACACTCCCTATGATGTGTGGCACCTACAGTATGCTCTTGGGTCTGTAACACCTTCACCTCCACCCCACTTCCTGGGGGAGTGACACTGGTCATGACAAACTGAATCGTCTTTCACCCACAGAGCTAATGCCCAAACCAATGTCTCCAAGGTTTTAGCAGGAGAATTAGGCAGAGGAAGAGCTACTGTGGAAGGCAGAATGGAGACAAGAGCAGCCAAGCAGAGCGAAGAAAAAGCTTGTTGCTATCTGTCATGGTGTCACATGTTTTTTATTGTTTCTTTTCATTCCACCACACTTACCTGCTGTGAACTTATATTTAATCCATGGCTAGCCAGTGGATTTCACCTTCGCCTGCTGTAATCGTATTGGTTTAGTCTTACTGTTATAAAACCTGACTGCTCTGCACTTACCTGACTGAGTGCAGCAGTCTGAGGCAGTAGGGTGAATCCAAGATCAGGCAAAGACAAGCGAGCAGGCTCATGAAAAGTTAACACACAGGTTGGTGTAGCAAGAGAGATACAGTCCAAAGCTGTAATGGGAAGCATTGCCAGATTTAAAGTTGGGAAGACACAGGACCAAAGGACATACTGTATAGGAATTCCTAAAGCATAGTCATAGTAATAAGCCAGGTTTGTAGCACAGAAGTGAGGTGGAGGCTTGCTTAGTAAAAACACTGGAGAACACAGGTGAAGCACAGGAATGATCTAGAGATTTACTTAAAAGCACAACCATAGCATAGAGAAGGAGAAACAAACAAAGAATGAGTGCAAACTGATTGCCAAGACTAGAGAAGAGGAACTGTCAAGGCTGATCTTAAACATCCTTCTGGTAAAGGTAATTAATTGCCTTACCTGATTAATCTATTGTACGCAAGTGGAATCATGTTGTCACAGCAATCGACTGATTGGCAGATTGACTAGAAACTTGACGGGCTGCCATGGTGTTTTGGGTGCACTGTCCAGTGCTCATTTGGAAGCAGGTGTGACAGTCTCTACTGTCAGTCTGCCCTCTATTGGCATTAGGGTATTGTGTTGTGACCAGCAGAAGAGTCACTAAACTGGTTGTGGTCATTGCTGAGGTAAATACAGGTAAGAGGATGTGTAATAAATAAAATAAGCAAGCCTTTGTGATTGTTGATGGCTTCTTAATTCTTGTATTATGTAAATGTAAAATAGTATTTAATTTTCTCAAATTCCTTGTAGCAGTATCATCCATGTGCAGTATATACAGTAAAGGAACAGGTAAGACCTCACACCTGAAGAAGGCTCCACAGCCGAAATGTTGCGTTCTCTTTCTTTTCTTTTCAGCATGGAATAAAACCGTTACCTGTTCCTTTGCAGCCTACGCATGCTGACGCAGCTCCCTACTCATTATATACAGTATGTATTTCCAGCTTTTCCTGCCAATACAGATATGCATTTCAATTATTTGTGCTGTATAGCCAAAGATATACTGAAGGAGCTCTGAAAAAAACACATGCCCATGGTGAGTGATTCTTTAAAGAAGTATTTCCTTGGTTTGCATAATGCCAGTGGTTGCCTTTTAGAATTAAAACTAAAGACAGTGAGTTGCATTTGACTAAAAAATAATCTGTTATGTGGATTAACTGTTCTGCCACACTCCAAAATACCTCTATCTCAATTATAGCTCAAATAAATCATCACAATACTAAGATAATAAGAGAAATGATTGCTTCACTGACATAACAGATTAAAATTATTTTATCCTACTGTAGATATCCATCCAATGAGATAAGAAGGTAACGGTATCCAGTTGTGGAGATTTTTTTTTATTATCCAGTGTTCCACATTGTCAAGGAATTACATTTGTTCAAGGAGGCCTACGGTTTTCCTACAAGTGCAATTTCAAAATAAATGAATGAATACGAGTGCTTGTAGATATTGTCCTCAGGAGCTTGTAAGGTGTTTCACTGGCCTGTTTGCAAAGGAATGGAGCCTCACAGAGCCAGGGAGGTGAAGAAGATCTGCTTCTGCAATTGCAAAGGACTTACACCTGTCTCCATGGCATCAGATCTCTTCCTGTAGTGCAGATCCCCCAGAGGTAAGGAAACTATGCCTCTTTCAGTATAATACTATTTAAACAGCACATCACTGCAGAGCACCTGCATTCCTCCCATAATACACCTGACTATAGGAAGGTTTGCTTGACTTTGTTTTTAAACAGTACCTCACCACAGAACACATACATGCTGTGTATCATTCTCCAGTGTGGTTGAAAAGTGTGGTTAAAAGTATCTAAATTAATAAACCATAGAATTTTAGAAATATGCACATTTGTCAATGTGCCTACCTACAATGTCTCTGCACATTATAATGTTTTACTCATTCTTTTCTACCACTATTTACAGAGCCTACTGAGGCAAACATAAAAGACACCTTCTGCAAAGCAAATAATCGCAAATTGTGTATGTAAGACTTCAACAAATGCACTACTTTTTTAAACCAGGCCAAGCATCACACAAGCTTTTTCTGACAAAAGGACATTAGAAGAAATGATTACTATAATATAGGGAAAAGGGCAAACTAACATTGTTCTTTAGAAATATCAAACATCGATGTAACCAGACTTGGTATTTTGTACTAATGAATCCCAATTAACCCTGCATTTGTTTATGTAACCACATGGTTGTTCTTCCAGGTACAATAATCTGTGTACACTGATCCAAAAATATATCAATAAATATACTACATGCAGCTGTTATACAGCACTTTTTCATTATATACAGACGTTTACACTTTGCTGTCTGTGCATGCAAAGTATTGCTAATAATATTGTAAGAAATGTTCTTCATGCCTATTTGGTTTTATTTCATACTTCAAGGATTTTTTTTTTAGTTTATTCTCCTCAACAAGTCTGGAAAAAGTACCGTGTGTTAAATATCGCCTACTCAACTCAGTCTGCTTGAAAAGTGTTTCAAACCCAGAAGTTTGCCTAATCCGACTTCCTGCATTCAACCAACGTAGGCGGCAGCAGTGAGCAGAAAACGTAAACCTCGCCTCCATTTTTTTTCTATTTTCTTCTGCCTCAAAACATTCAGATGAAACATGGCTAATCGTGGTGTTGCTTTTCGTCTTTTTCGCTGCAAAGAAATCCTGTTGCGTAGCGGATTGAGACTGAACTCCAGCAGTCTCGCTTCAGGGGGTTTGACTAGGTCATTCTGTGCGCAAACTCGGTCTGAGCGCCTGACCGTGAGGCTGCAGCAGGACGGAATAAGGTTAGACTCATGAGAAGACGTTTTATATGCAAGCAGAAGTGTTTATGTGTATATCGGCTCTAAACAGTGCATTAAGCGCGTTTATGTCTTTCTACAGCAGTGTCAGGTGTTTAATCATACATTTTATTTCTTCCCCGTACTGGTTCAAAACGTATTTTCTTGATCAGAAAAGTTACCTAGTCTAAAACAATCGCCGTTATCATTGGCTAGATAACCCCCCCCCCAAGTCGAACCGAAACACATTTGGGTGCTATACCGTATTTGCAATAATCTGTATTCAGGTCCGTGTAGAAATTAAAGCAATAAATCACGTCTAACGTGATATGCCCTTAACTTTGTTGCTAAGAATATTGCACCTAGTCAGGTATTTCCCAATACAATTAAAGGACAATGTATTTAAAGTTTCAATCGTTTTCCAATACTGCCGTTTGTGCATTTTACACGGTAACAAAGATCTTTTTTTTTATCTCCCTAGGAATATAATACTTAATGACCCCAAGAGAAGAAATACTTTATCCTTGTCAATGCTGAATTCTCTGCGGACCGATATATTGCACGAGATAGACAGTGATGACCTCAGGGTCATTATCATATCAGGTATTCCAAACAAAAAAGTGGGAATTTGCGAGAGGCTACCTTGTTGCTGGACAATATAATAATATGCATGGCTAGCACAGACACAAACACATTTAGTTTAATTTAGAAAAAAGAGTGCTACTCTACATCATCCTGATTTAACTGAATAAGCTGTAGAGTTTTTACTCCTAACTTCCATAATGAATATTATGGGATCCATTTGTTGGGGTGGGTCGAAATAGTGTTTGTATTTCCTATGTGGTCTGAGGAACCAGTCAATTTCCTTTTCCTACCCAGTCGAAGTTGGCAACTGTTAATAAATACGTGAGTGCATTTTGGTTTTTTACTTCTTTAATGAAGCTGCCCGTTGTTTTCCAGCTGAAGGCCCAGTGTTCTCATCAGGACATGACCTGAAGGAGTTGACATTGGCCCAGGGACCGGAGCATCACAGCAGGGTGTTTGAGGTGTGCTCAGAGGTGAGGCCCTTGCTAAGGTCATCAGCCATTACTTTGTAACAAGTCATGATGAAAGCGAAAAATTCAGCTTCCCTAATCCTGAAATCTGTTTCAGTTTCTATGAACTGCTGGCTTCTGTACAGTATGTAGGCCAACAGGAGGTGCATTCTTACTAAGGTATTTTGGACACGTCAATGTAAGGAGGGGACAGTGTTGAAATGTGGGCTTTTCTGCTTCAGCAGTAAAGAGCCATTAGGAGATTACTAAACTGTTCTGTCCACATGGTTCTCAGAATGACAGATGTTATAATTTTAGTAAAAGCAAGAAAACACAGTCTTGAAAAAGAAGTCCTTTAACTATCTCTCTCTGAGAACAGAGATAGAAAAGGAAGAGGCTACAATAAATTATCAGTATATTCTGTATCATTGCCTGTTTGTTAAAATCACTGAGATTTATGTTTACAGCAACATACAGTAGACTAGTAAATGCAGATTCACATATCTGTCCTGGAAATGAGTCTCGTTTGAAATTCACATGCAAGCTGAAACTTCTTCCAGAAATAGGTTTTCAGGTTGTGATTTTATGCAAACACAGCATTCAGTAACTTCTCTTTTCTATTTCTTTTCTAAGCTATATAAATTCAGCAACTTTTGAAAGGCATTATGGCTTATGAGAGCTAGATTTCTAGTGATAATTAACACATAACCATATTAAATTGCGGCCAACAGAAATGAAGACATCATCATCACTTTCCATAACGGATTATCCTTTTCAAGATCACAGCGGCTCAGATCCTATCCCAGGAAGCACTGGGCGCATGAAAGGAAACACTCTGGATGGGACACCTGTCCATCGCAGGGCAGACACACAGACACAAACACGCACACACACTCATGCCAGGGCCAATTTACAGAACCCAGTTAACCTACCAGTAAACCGGAGCACCCAGAGGAAACACAATCGAACATGGGGAGAACATGCAGACTCCACACAGACAGCACCTAGGTCTGGAATTGAACCCAGGGTTCCAGCTCTGCGAGGCACAAATGCTAACCACTGTGTTACCCTAAAAATGAAGACATTAAATGAAATATATAACATACCGTACATTTAAAAAGTGATTTATTTTGTACATTTAGGATTCTGTATATTGTTTTAATGATAGATGTGTTTAACGATACAGCCTGCAGATGGTGGCCCAACTCCCTATTATTGACATTACATTGGTGTTTCAGCCCACAGGTGATGGGCACATGTAATCTGTTTCCAGCGTTACTTCATTTCTTTACCCTATTGATACATATTGAAAAGCTACATTTGCAGTGCCGCCTTCTTTCATTCTTTTCCAGATCATGACGTTGATACAAGACATTCCCGTGCCAGTCATCGCCAAGGTCAGTGGCATGGCAACGGCAGCAGGATGCCAGCTGGTTGCCAGTTGTGATATCGCAGTTGCTTCTGAAAAGTCAACGTTTGCCACACCTGGAGTAAACGTTGGGCTTTTTTGTTCGACACCTGCTGTTGCCATTGGCAGGGCCATTCCAAGGAAGGTAATGCTCAGACTTCCTGAAAGGGGCAAGGAATAGGTTCCAAGTTCATGTTTGTGGTTCCGTTATCTTGATTTGATATTACAGTATATACTTTGTAAAAAATATTTCGATACACCCCTTGAACCAAACTTGCATGCAAGTCACAGCAACTAATGTATAATAACTAAATTGGCAATCATTTAATTCCACAATTTTTGGAATTTGCATAATTTATGAGGTGGCATGCATTGAGAAAGTTTAATGTTTCCTCAAAGAAAACAAGACAACGCACAACTGAAAAATGCAGCAATTACAGGTGTTCATTAACAAAACTCCAGCACGGATTTTCCGTCTTCTAATTATTTTTTACGTCACTAATGAAGACATTTTAAGAATGTTTTGCTTTACGGTATCGGTCCAACAAAGGTATTTTGAAATATGTTGATAGTACTTGGATGTAGCATTTATGAAAAAAACAATCAAGAATGTCTTCAAATAACTAGAGAAAGATCCTTTTTTGTCTTGGTTAGAATGTGTGTTAGGGAACTTAAGGCAAGCTATGAGGCAGATCCATTTGGAATACCTGCAGTGTGTGAGTGTCAACTCAGCTTGACAGAATGTGATGCGCAAATGTTACCTTGTCATCAGAAGAGCTTTTCCACATAGTCGTGCAATTCACAATTCAAATAGTATTCATGACTTAGCAAAGGGTAAACAGCAAGTATGTGTA